AGAGTAACATGTAAGCACGACTTTCTCATGTTCACATCCCATTTTATCATCTACCCTCTCCATAACTCTTATTCAACAGTCGCCCTCAAGAAAAAAACAGATCACAGAGTGAAATTTTGAATCACAAGTTTTAAGATTTCTAAAATTAGTATATTTTGAAATATTGAAGTCAACAAAGAAAGTTGAAATGCATTTTTCCACATATTTAAGTTGAATGTTTCCAACAAGTCTAAAACTAGGGCTCTTCTACAATCAGAACAAAGGAGGGCTTTTCTCTCTGTATTAAGCTGTGGGGGAGGGATCTACAAGATGTGGTGGCGGGCTAATAAATTACTCATTTATCATATTGTTTGTATAGTGCCACATCTATTCCAAAAATAGGTATACACTAGTTCGGATGTTATTTTCCTTTCCTGTCATCTTAATATTTTTTTAATGCACTTTTTCTTTTAGTGTGACAATCATAATGCTGTTTTCTGCAAGTACAAGGAGCATATCATTTCTAAATCACTGATTCAAAAGCAGCAGCATGCCAAAGATACAAACTGCAACAGCAATTATCAAGGTATACAGTGAGAACATAACACATTTTGTGCGCACAGTAACCTTATAACTGTAGTAGCATATACAGTAAGTGTATACAGAGGCAGAAATATGCTTTAAGTTTAAACAATAGCAGCAGTAGCCCAGTGGTGTATACAGATACTGTCACCAGTAACAGCATTATCCCCAACTGGCATACTGTAACAGTAGTACATGTATAGTGTATACTGTAACAGTATCAAATACAACACATACAATGTTACAATGTTTAGAAACCCCTACCTGCTCATGGCCTGTCATCTGGCCTTGGTTAAACTGTTTCAGAAGCTGTATGCCTTCATGTATGTCCTGTAGACGCCTCAGGTTGGCTTCTGAAAATAAAAGCAGAAAGATATGAAACCATGCAGTATCAGTTAAAGACGCAATCAGTACTGACAGAAAGTATCATCATTAAGCAATTAAATCTATGGATAAAACAATGTGTAGTAAATGAAAGTAAATTTCTGATTAACTCATTTGAACATCAATTTCTAAAAAACTTGCTCTGCCCACAATATTTTAAAATTTCGTTAACTGCACATATCAGAATCACAAATTTTTGTGTTTGTTACACTGGAATAATCCTGTTCTTGGAACTTCATCTGTTCCAAAAACAAGATGACAGGTTGTTGATGTGTTCAGGTATCTCCTTGCATGCCAACTTGTTCTCAGAACTTGATAAATTATTTGAGAGTCAACAGAGCTTTGATTCAGGTCAATGCTACACTGATGATAAAAATTATCTCAACATTCCACATTAAGGAATAAACTGTTTTTAAAATGTGTCAAATTGCTTTTTAAAAAAATTGTCAAAATCATTGCAAATAATCTCGTTTGACTCAAAAAGATTTGTCTATCCAAAGTAAAACAATTTACATTGCACATCAGTCTCCAAGTCTAGACACAGATTAAGGAATATCTTCAAATCTATAGTATTAACAAATCTATGGCACCTTACACACACTCAGCAGATTTGGCCACACATATACCGCCTGGAGCTGGGGGCACTGCATCTTAGCCATCCCTTCTACCTTTATGACATCTTTTAGATAACATCTTCCTAAAGATATTGTTTCTAACATGCTGAATTACAGTATAAATTTACACATTTTCTTGGTTCATATACTGGACTGTGTAGATTTTCATGCAGAGTAGCATCATAAATATCACATTTTGAGCATAAAGTGGAGGTTTTAACAGGCATTTGCAGGATATTTTCTGACTCATCCTGCTGATAATAACATTAAGTCAAAGAATAAAACATAACTTGCCCATAAAGAAGAGGTAATTATGGTTCCACTGTGGTCAACCCTGTGGTTTATCAAGTGCATTGCTCAACTACAGCAATGAAACATGCTTGGAAACATTCCCAATCAGATTGCAATGGCCTAACTTGCTACCTACCATATCTGCAACCTATGTGATGCCATTTCTAACCACAGAGAGTGATTCTTATCCCTCTCCTGTCTTCAGCCACTGTAACTGGAGTTATTTGGTTTTCTATTGTTACATATACTTGGGAACACATGGAATTTAGCTGTTGATTGGAGATCAACCTCCATGTAAGAATTCATGTCTATTATAAGTTCTACTTATCCTAGGCTATGATCTTTCTATGCACATGTAAGTAATCTAAAAAATATTCCACATAACCAATAATAAAAACAAGGCAGCAAAGCTGTCAAATGTACAGACAAAAAACAGGAAATAACTATGCACAAAATAAGCTACTGTCAATTCTGATGCAAAAATACATTATGTTAAACTGCAAATTCAACATCAAATTTTAATTATCCTCTACAGGCAATACCAATGTAATTAAAATATGTGACAAGTTTACACTTTGAAAATGTATAACTTCCAGAAAAAGAAGTCACTTAGACTGCTTTTCCAACTCAGACTATATTTTAGTCCTGTATTTCNATACAGCCACATGCCAGGCTATTGTCATGGGTCAGTCAGCCATTCATAATACACTCACTCGCCATATGAGGGCATGTGTCAAATGGTAAGAAGGAACATTTGATATGTTTTATGTCGTTGGGTGATTAATCAAGTGGAAGACGGGTCCCTGATTATTTACCTTCTTTTAACTTGAGCTATCAAAAAAGTTAACATTTCTACGCCTATAATTCCTTTTAGCTGAAAACATAACTGTGTCCTGATAAATGTTTAAATTGCCTAAAGCATCCTTTTTTACTTCACACCTTAAGATGGACACTATAAAAACAAACATGCTTATTTCTTGAAACTTCTATTATGGATAATCATCTGAGCCAATATCTATGCAAACAGCACTGTATATTCAATAAGTCTGGTTCTTTTGGGACACCAGATTGATAATTAACTTGTAACCTGGATGCCTTATGTTACATTTCCACATGGTTACACCATATGTCCTAAACCAATGCACTCCTCATCTATGTAAAGACAAAGCATAATTTTGTAGAATACTCAGCAAAAGTTCTCCAAACTATCATCATAATTTATGAAATAATCAGTTTTTTCAGTCTAATACTTCTGTCAATGTCATCTTTAAAGAGAAAAATTTAACACTGGAACAGCAAATATTAATTACATGTAGTTTCCTAATTTAAGACTATTAGGTTCTGTTGCCATGTCCAATCTTCTTTATCTTTTTAAGTATTTGAATTATGTTCTGGTTGACCACAGATCAACCCTCCACCTTTTCTCAGCCTTGATCATGAAGTTATCTATCTGGATCATGATATCTTTAACACACAGTATTCAGTAACAAGTCCTTCAGACAGCACTGCACATAGCTATTCAGGGGAGATGTCAGCACTCACCTTAGCATGGATCTTTTTGGTACTGGAATTCTTCCTCAACTTCTTTCTCAACTTTTTCCTAACCATTTTCAGCTGTTTCATACCACTCTTTGAAAATCAATTCTTTTACACCGCCAAATAAATAGAAAAGTGTCTGTCCTCTATGTAAGCATGCTCCACACGTCCAGGAGCATGTGACAGTTGATGGATAACTTATTACCTCACAGGAAAGAGATCCACCTTTACCCAGAAACCCCTTATCACTATCATGGCAAATAGAGGTGTCCTTATCCCTTCCCACCTCTATCCATCTAGTATCTGTCCATACAGAATATCAATGACTAGCACTTTGATTCCCTCAATAATAAGCACTCAACATGATTCTCTCCTTGTTCTGTCCGTCTCTGATTTTTTTTTACGCCTGATTATCCAGTATTGAACCAAATCACCCATTCCTGTCTTAGATTCAAGGTTAGTATGAATGTGGTGTATATTGCTGTGGTTACCCACGTCTTGTGTCTGTGTCTTCTCTCTTATAGTATATTGGAATACGATACCTGAGTTAAAGATTTTCAGCAGGGTTTGACCACAATTAGCTAGGATGCCTTCAAAATATCTGTACTCCAGTTTTTGTGTGAGTGTTTATGTGACGTCTACCTTGTATGTTAAAGAGTTCAGTGTCAGATATTTTCGCAATCACTTTTGTCCTACCTTATGAACTTTCCCATCCCTTTTTTAAAAACATGTGATCATTAAGAGTTCCTGTAAAACTTTTCCCTTGTTTTTTTCCTGTTTTGAATTTTACCTTCTACACCAGGTGTTATAAACCTGTAGTCTTTTTAAATCTTACACATCTGTTTTTCTCTATACATACTTATATTACACTTCTTTTCGATTCAGTCAGCCTAACTAAAATAGACTTAATCTTTACAGTATTTTAACTTTTAAATTGAAGCAAATGTGCATCAAAACTACATCTTCCTCAAAAATCCAAAATTTACACTATGAAAAATATTGGCAAACACTGTAATGAGTAACTTCAATAAGGAAATGTAATCAACTTGTCCTTATTCAACAAAGAAAGCTAAATATTAACCATCCCAGCTATATTTATCTTGCTATCACGACCTGTACTGTTAAGAGTGTGTAATCCAAGTCACAAGTAGGCAGAGTAACATGTAAGCACAACTTTCTCATGTTCACATCCCATTTTATCATCTACCCTCTCCATAACTCTTATTCAACAGTCGCCCTCAAGAAAAAAACAGATCACAGAGTGAAATTTTGCATCACAAGTTTTAAGATTTCTAAAATTAGTATATTTTGAAATATTGAAGTCAACACAGAAAGTTGAAATGCATTTTTCCACATATTTAAGTTGAATGTTTCCAACAAGTCTAAAACTAGGGCTCTTCTACAATCAGAACAAAGGAGGGCTTTTCTTTCTGTATTAAGCTGTGGGGGAGGGATCTACAAGATGTGGTGGCGGGCTAATAAATTACTCATTTATCATATTGTTTGTATAGTGCCACATCTATTCCAAAAATAGGTATACACTAGTTCGGATGTTATTTTCCTTTCCTGTCATCTTAATATTTTTTTAATGCACTTTTTCTTTTAGTGTGACAATCATAATGCTGTTTTCTGCAAGTACAAGGAGCATATCATTTCTAAATCACTGATTCAAAAGCAGCAGCATGCCAAAGATACAAACTGCAACAGCAATTATCACGGTATACAGTGAGAACATAACACATTTTGTGCACACAGTAACCTTATAACTGTAGTAGCATATACAGTAAGAGTGTATTCAGAGGCAGAAATATGCTTTAAGTTTAAACAATAGCAGCAGTAGCCCAGTGGTGTATACAGACACTGTCACCAGTAACAGCATTATCCCCAACTGGTATACAGTAACAGTAGTACATGTATAGTGTATACTGTAACAGTATCAAATACAACACATACAATGTTACAATGTTTAGAAACCCCTACCTGCTCATGGCCTGTCATCTGGCCTTGGTTAAACTGTTTCAGAAGCTGTATGCCTTCATGTATGTCCTGTAGACGCCTCAGGTTGGCTTCTGAAAATAAAAGCAGGAAAATATGAAACCATGCAGTATCAGTTAAAGAAGCAATCAGTACTGACAGAAAGTATCATCATTAAGCAATTAAATTTATGGATAAAACAATATGTAGTAAATGAAAGTAAATTCCAGATTAACTCATTTGAATATCAATTTCTAAAGAACTTGCTTTGTCCAAAATATTTGAAAATTTTGTTAACTGCACATAGCAGAATCACAAATTTTTGTGTTTGTTACACTGGAGAAATCCTGTTCTTAGAACTTCATCTATTCCAAAAACAAGATGACAGATTGTTGATGTGTTCAGGTATCTCCTTGCATGCCAACTTGTTCTCAGAACTTGATAAATTATGTGAGAGTCAACAGAGCCTTGATTCAGGTCAATGCTACACTGATGATAAAAATTATCTCAACATTCCACATTAAGGAATAAACTGTTTTTAAAATGTGTCAAATTGCTTTTTAAAAAAATTGTCAAAATCATTGCAAATAATCTCGTTTGACTCAAAAAGATTTGTCTATCCAAAGTGAAACAATTTACATTGCACATCAGTCTCCAAGTCTAGACACAGATTAAGGAATATCCTCATATCTGTAGTATCAAATCTATGGCACCTTACACACACTCAGCAGATTTGGCCACACATATACTGCCTGGAGCTGGGGGCACTGCATCTTAGCCATCCCTTCTACCTTTATGACATCTTTTAGATAACATCTTCCTAAAGATATTGTTTCTAACATGCTGAATTACAGTATAAATTTACACATTTTCTTGGTTCATATACTGGACTGTGTAGATTTTCATGCAGAGTAGCATCATAAATATCACATTTTGAGCATAAAGTGGAGGTTTTAACAGGCATTTGCAGGATATTTTCTGACTCATCCTGCTGATAATAACATTAAGTCAAAGAATAAAACATAACTTGCCCATAAAGAAGAGGTAATTATGGTTCCACTGTGGTCAACCCTGTGGTTTATCAAGTGCATTGCTCAACTACAGCAATGAAACATGCTTGGAAACATTCCCAATCAGATTGCAATGGCCTAACTTGCTACCTACCATATCTGCAACCTATGTGATGCCATTTCTAACCACAGAGAGTGATTCTTATCCCTCTCCTGTCTTCAGCCACTGTAACTGGGGTTATTTGGTTTTCTATTGTTACATATACTTGGGAACACATGGAATTTAGCTGTTGATTGGAGATCAACCTCCATGTAAGAATTCATGTCTATTACAAGTTCTACTTATCCTAGGCTATGATCTTTCTATGCACATGTAAGTAATCTAAAAAAGATTCCATATAACCAATGATAAAAAATTAAAATCCTGATCACTGAAGTATCTCAAGTGCTGAATCATGTAAGTACAGCATATTATAGTATAAGCAGATTTTTAGAGCATATTTGGCTAATGACATGATTGAAAAATATTTGAATATATTGTTACAAGTGGGCATGTCTCTTTAAAGAGTCAGATGACAATGAAGAAATGGCAAGATCCGCCATATTTGGGGCAATCAAGTTGAATGCAAACAGTTCCCAGCAAAAACTGTCACCACAAACAAAACCAATAGCGTCTGCTTTTCTAAGTTCTGCTGGTACATTCAATTTCAAAGAAATTGAAAATGCACGGTGTTCTGGTTTATTTCACTTTGATGTAATCTGTGGTTAGTTTAATACTTCAAAACTCAATACAACATTGCAGAGGCAACCATTTTCAGATTATTGAGGTCTAAAATATGTTATCCCATTTCAATCAATTGCATGTCTGTTTCATGAGAGACAACTACGCAACTATGAGTGGGAATGTAGACATTACATGCAACTTCATGTTGAATTTCCCAAATCTTATCACAAAAATATTACAAATCAAAAACATAATCCAAGTGAAAATATAGATAATAATCAATTAATTTCATCTAAATTTCATTGACTTACCTTCATCAAATAACATAATGGCATTCTATGACAGAAATCCAAAATGTATAAGTCTCAGCTAAATTTGAGATAAGTATCTTCAGGCGGGAGACAATGGGGCATTTTTTCCCCTATTGCATGTTCTTTAGCATCACAGCGTGACAAGAGTGGGAGGGCAAAGGGGGTTGGGTTTGGTATGGGGAACACAGGGCCAGCAGCAGGCTATGATTATGTGCTGCTACACAACAGGCCTTAACCTTTTGTAGATCTTATCAAAATTGATGACCAAAGGCTACAGCAGTTTTTTTTCCTCCTAGACTGAACTACTTACTATACAAGACAAGCCTGATAACAGTAACACGGTCACATGATGGGACATCATGTTTTTTCACATTAAGTACATGTAAATGTGCAAAAGATTACCTAGTACAACAAACAGAGCCTATGAAAAACGCATTTACTTAGTCTAATCTTCCCTAACGGAGGCTGAAATTGTTGCTCGGCACCTAATTATCAGATTGTATTTAACAGCGAAAAAATGTCAGATTCATTTGCTGCATATTTTACTGGGTTATCAAAAGTCTGTAGGCTATGTATCATGCACCACATCAGCTTTAAAAAAGTCAGACTGAGCCATGTGAAATAAAGCACTTCTCAAACTACTACCAACTATTTTCTTTATTTCAAACCGAAAATTTAAGCACTGTCATCATTGTAACAGATGAATTATTATTATTGTCATTTTTTTTTTTTTTTGGGGGGGGGGGGTGTGGAATTGCTAATACTAATTTGCAAACTGTTCTATCTAATGCTCTCTTTTTCTATCAAAAAATACAAGCAACCTTAGAACATACCTGCACTACTCCATAACACTGACAACCTGTACATTATTGCTGTTCACCAACAACTTGTCAACTCAACATCAGCATCAATGTAACAACAGATCTGTATTAGCAAGTGTTACATCCCCTTTACTGGCAACAACTACTACATGTCCTGTCTACAAGATCATCTATGTACACCACAGTGCACCAGATAACTTGAGTTATGTTGATATCACCAGCTGAAGCTGGAAACATTATCATCATTAACTGCTAGAGCTGATGCCAAAAGCCTTGAACATTTGGGGTCTTAATGTGGACCTGGCGCCAGGGATTGGTCAGTGCTGAGACACAGGGTACAGGAGGGCATGGTTTGTGGTAATATGGTGCTGGATTTCTGTTGTAAAAAGTAAATACTGAGAATGAAAGATGAATGGGAGCCCAGAAATGTGATTTTGGTGCAGCAATTCAAATGGATTTTTTTCTCCTTGCATTTGGCAGGTGAATTTTCATCTAGTTAAAGTGTATATTATGAAACATACCCCATCCAACACATGCAACACACATACATCTCTTACATCATACAGTAACATCTTTTAAGACAGGGATTATAGAGTTTGAAATTTGTTGTTTGCATTCAAATTAATAAACAAACATATTCCACAAATTTATTTGAAAAGCTCTGCAACTTTTCAAAGCCCCGAGTAGTTTTCTTCTCCATTCTTTTCAACAAGTTTTAAGAATTGCTTTAGCAGTGAATGTCTTTTCTTCAATTTTACTCTGGTATACTCTTCATTCATAAAACATACAGCAACAGCATTCAATTTCAAACAACCCTTTCCTTCCTTTGTTATTCTATTGCACCCTAGGACACTATCTGTCATTCTAGACAAAAAGAGTAAGAATCTTCTTTAATCTCTCTGCTATACCCTTAGGGGTCTAGGATGAAATAAAGGTCTGGGATGAAATAAAGGTTAATAAAAAGGCATCATCTTTTTATTCATGTATTCCCACAAGTTGACAAACCTATTTAAAATCTGCCCTACCGCAACGGAAGAATCGGGTTTTACCAGAAAGAACTCTTTATTATGACAGAAAGTTGTACCTTTCCTCACTGGGCAATAAAAACATCAATTTAAGGTGAGACACTACACCTAAAAATTGGGATTTTTGGACCTAGCTGAGACACCTCAAAATGTTTACCAATTGTCTGGGTATGATGAAAAATATTAAAATTAACAATTTTAAAATATGCAAATTAGGTTAATTATGCAAATTAGGCTAATTATGCGTATTTTTGGGGAAAAATTAAAATCATTATTTNTTGTAACAGATGAATTATTATTATTGTCATTTTTTTTTTTTTTTGGGGGGGGGGGGTGTGGAATTGCTAATACTAATTTGCAAACTGTTCTATCTAATGCTCTCTTTTTCTATCAAAAAATACAAGCAACCTTAGAACATACCTGCACTACTCCATAACACTGACAACCTGTACATTATTGCTGTTCACCAACAACTTGTCAACTTAACATCAGCATCAATGTAACAACAGATCTGTATTGGCAAGTGTTACATTCCCTTTACTGGCAACAACTACTACATGTCCTGTCTACAAGAACATCTATGTACACCACAGTGCACCAGATAACTTGACTTATGTTGATATCACCAGCTGAAGCTGGAAACATTATCATCATTAACTGCTAGAGCTGATGCCAAAAGCCTTGAACATTTGGAATCTTAATGTGGACCTGGCGCCAGGGATTGGTCAGTGCTGAGACACAGGGTACAGGAGGGCATGGTTTGTGGTAATATGGTGCTGGATTTCTCTTGTAAAAAGTAAATACTGAGAATGAAAGATGAATGGGAGCCCAGAAATGTGATTTTGGTGCAGCAATTCAAATGGATTTTTTTCTCCTTGCATTTGGCAGGTGAATTTTCATTTAGTTAAAGTGTATATTATGAAACATACCCCATCCAACACATGCAACACACATACATCTCTTACATCATACAGTAACATCTTTTAAGACAGGGATTATAGAGTTTGAAATTTGTTGTTTGCATTCAAATTAATAAACAAACATATTCCACAAATTTATTTGAAAAGCTCTGCAACTTTTCAAAGCCCCGAGGAAGTTTTCTTCTCCATTCTTTTCAACAAGTTTTAAGAATTGCTTTAGCAGTGAATGTCTTTTCTTCAATTTTACTCTGGTATACTCTTCATTCATAAAACATACAGCAACAGCATTCAATTTCAAACAACCCTTTCCTTCCTCTGTTATTCTATTGCACCCTAGGATAATATCTGTCATTCTAGACAAAAAGAGTAAGAATCTTCTTTAATCTTTCTGCTATACCCTTAGGGGTCTAGGATGAAATAAAGGTCTGGGATGAAATAAAGGTTAATAAAAAGGCATCATCTTTTTATTCATGTATTCCCACAAGTTGACAAACCTATTTAAAATCTGCCCTACCGCAACGGAAGAATCGGGTTTTACCAGAAAGAACTCTTTATTATGACAGAAAGTTGTACCTCTCCTCACTGGGCAATAAAAACATCAATTTAATTGTTTGCACTCTGTCCCACCTGTACAAGCTCATCTTGCCACTTTTTGACAGTTCAAGAAAAAAAAAGCGAGTAAAATGTAATGAACATATTTAGCCAGCAGCTTTGTCACTTCCTAGTTTTATCAAAATTGAACCATATTTACCCCTACATTATTGTGTGGCTTGCAAAAAGGAGTAAGTTAGTTCCAAACACCATCAGTTGTCAACAAAAAAATTAAACATAAATGTCAATATGACAGTCCAATTGCTCCAAGACATTGTCATGAAACAAACATGTTAAATTGATGTCTCCAGGATAGCAAAAAAGGCAGCATAATGAAAACAAACTTATCATCAAGGTATGTTATCCCCTCATATATCTCCTTTGCTTTGTTTCCTGACCACACTCTAGATTTATCATTTTGTTCCCAGGTACTTTTTCTTGTTATCAGCTGCTATTAAAACATGCCATTAAAACAAAGCTCTGATTTATGATACCACTTGAGAATCATTAACACTGGGGATTTTATGAACAACCAGAAAAGTGTTAAGAAACCTCAAAATTTATGAAAAAAAATAATGACACATAATGAAGATCTAACAAATGCCTCCCTAGATTATTTTCCTCTTACCTAGTATCTTTTGCCTTGGACTGTACCCTGGGGGGTCACCAACTGAGGGGAACCTCTGGTGCGTACTAGCTCCTGGCACCATGTGTTCCCCAGTACTGCCTGTACTGTAGTGTTGTACAGTGGACCCTGGGTACCCCCCTGAGCTGCCACACGCACTGCTCATGTACTGGCTGTCACTGTAGTGCCGCCTCTGAAGAAAGTCATCATCGATGTCTCCCTCTTCCTGGATCCCAGGCGCATCTAAACAAGACATGCAGGAAACATTTATCAAATTTGACATTCAAGGCTGTATGGAGGAGTTTGAAAGGGTTGCTGGTCACAAGCAAATTGCCCAGACTTCCTTTCTGTATCAAAAAGACTCAATAAACAGTTATTCACTATCTTGAGGAGGTTTCCAATGATAAATATGAAACCTTCTCAACTAAAAAATACAACCAGGCTGCATAGCTAGCTATCTATTTGCTCCCCATCTAAGATCAAACATATGACTACAATAATGTTACACTTTCTTCAATTCAAAAGCAAACAGTTTTGTTTGACTTTGTTTTATCTTTATCTTAACAACAAATATCCCACGGCTGCTGAGATCATTTGTCTTCCAAACTGGTAACAGTGACACTTGTCATCTAAGTTATAAAAAAATCAGTAATGATGGGCATAAAAAGGCTACCTCCAGTATAAGTCTGGGGCAAAAGGTGTTACGACCCTCCTCTAACAGTCAATTACTGTCAAACTCTGTCACAAACAAAGTCATCCATCCAGAGCTGATACTGTCATTACTAACAATGTTGTATGTGTGTATAAGTCACTCTGCCTTGGTGTAACTGCTCTGTACCCAAGTGTAAGTGTATGAATGTGCACTATACTATGTGCATGCATGCTTGTACTCTCATGTTCATGCACACACTTGAGTAAACAGACTGAGAGGAAGTCACATGGTTTAAACCAGATTGTCCTTCTAAACCCTGGGATACAGCAACCATTATAAACCATGTTAAGAACTAGGTTAAATTACACTTAAATCATCTAACCAAATTCACCAGCATCTAAATGAAAATGGCATCCTGGTGTAATCTGGCTGTCTGGTGACACCAGTTAGAATATTAATGGCCCAAGTTAGTTCAGTTGTGAAGACTACCCTAGGTCATACCTGGCTTCCAAGGTTTGGGTTCTCTGTGGCGCACTGTGGCAACTGTTCCATGCATCAACTGAGAGAAGTCCCGTAGCAAACTGATGTCTTCATCTACAAGGAGAAAACAAAAAAAAAATTGGTTAGTTATAAAAGTAAATGCTTCACAAATGGAAATTGTCCATCTAAAAGAAGACTTTTAGCACTGTGTGATGTTATAAAAAACTAGAAAATGTGTGAGAATCCCTGTGAGGTGGGTTTAACTCTTCAGTAATAAGGGTGAAGCTCTATGTTTTAAAGAACAATTCAAAGTGACACTTAAAACATGGTAAATTTATAATGTTGTTCAATACTGTAATAAATCAGTTGAATCAACTGAAATCTTCAGAATAAAATATCAATAAGAGCAATGATTATCAAAATACATTTTGAAATATCTACAAAATGCTGCATGGGTCAGATATGCCTCTGCCCAGTTTCTTAACCATTGTCAAATGCCCTAAATATTCCATCAAAACAAAAGAAAACTCTATAAGAAAAGAATAACTCTCTGCCCACTGCTCTGGGTGGTCTGGTACAGTTAAAATAGATTGTGTTATTGTTTCACTTTGAAGATCTGTTACTGAGTATCTTCAGAGGATACATGCCAGCTGCTAAATATTGATTGGAAATAAGAACCATCTCCCATCCAATCTATCATGTGCCACACCAACAATGTGCTGGAGTTGTGTAACAGACTGAAACAGTACTGCACGCAAATAATTTAATTGTTCTTATTATGCTTGCACCATTATTGAACCGGCTGCTGTATTATCCCCTTTGTAATAATTACTCAAAAATTATACATGGGTTGAATCACATTTAAAAAGCATCTTCAAATATTAGGTACAACCTTTTACCAAACTTAATTTAGAGGCCAAAGGTATGAATTTATAAAAACGTGACATAATTTGCTCTCCCAATATGAAACAGAAAGATGCTGATTAATTTGATAATTCATGAATAGTTAAAATGGTGAAATTTTCATTTTTGTATTCACATCATGTGACACGTGTGTAATCAATGATCAGGATTTTTTCACAAACTAAAACTGTAAGTTTGAATGTTAACTCCACAGGTAAGGGTATGCAATTTATTATCCCTTGAATAAATTGATTTTTTCATTTTCTTTTCAATGTTAAAAAAAAATAATTCAAATACGAAAACATTATGAGGTGTTTTTAATCTCCTCTTCCTTATAAAAAGCATAAATAATCCCCTGGACCGCCTGTCACTTCACATGAACAGTCCAATTTGCCTTCCACTTTATTACTTCATTTCAAAATCTAGGCACATACAGAAAAAATTAACATTTAATAAAAGCCTGGTGTCGACATGAAAATCTGCAGTTTTAAATTCTAACCTCCACTCCATTAAAATTCCCAAACAGCTTCACCTGCTGAGGTCACATATACAAAGTCGCAGCACACAACACCAAATTCCTTCTGTTCAGAGGGGATTCTTAATTTAAAAGCTCTCAATTCTATCCCAATGCTATGAAGAAAAAACCTCTTTGCAGGGGTTTCCAGGGGCATGCATGCACACTATGGTTTTATATTTTATAAATAAACCTAGACCTCAATACCTTAACTTGTCATCCTAGACCATCAAGTACATTTCCACTTTTATCTCACTGAGAATATCATTTGATATTTATTCCACTTCTTGTGAGGAAAACACACGTCAGGTAATTGTTAGACTTTTATTTAAACAAATTGCTCATTTCAATCTTGTGTTCCAAAAGTTTAAAGTATGTCAAAACCAACCTATTAAATCCTGCCCAATACTTCATATGTTTTATAATAAAGAGAAGTATACAACATAGTAAAACGTCTGAATATCAAAAATTCTTCTATCATTTAAATAAAACATTTTACATTATATCTGCACCACTAGGACATGTTATCTTACGTCCACTTCTGTGTCCCAATTCTAGTGAAGCATAATATTCATGCAATCTGGCAATATTGTATGGAAAAGGGAGTTCACCTCTAAATACTGATAATGTTACCCAGCATGCCATCATACTTCACTGCAATTATAATACAATCCACTCAATGCTTTACCTGGCCATGTGAAAAATTCACCCAATAATTTTTCTCATTCAGCTTAACATATCCCAAGGGCACAGAAATTCCATTAAGAAAATTGCCTGTATACTTTTACTTATTTTTTTATGTATAAAGTAAATGAGAAATATTTTTTTTCTGAAACTGGATACACTATCAGGCCACCCTAGGTTAGTAAAAAGAATTGTTTACACAATAATTCAGTGTTGTTATTTCAATTTTCAGGAGTCTGTTGGAAAATTAAGAATATGGGGTGGGGGGGGGGAATTATTTCAGATATTTATGTATTTGTATTATAGTATGCTGTTACTTTAATTCAGATATTTATGTATTTGTATTATAGTATGCTGTTACTTTTATTACAGTTTGAGCAACAAGGAAAGGTAATACTTTCATAAATCATGACAAAAGAAAACATCTCCCTTGCCCTTTATCACCGTATCAAAAAGAACAAAATTCCAGCGTAAGAGTCATCATTTCCTGACTGTCCATATCAAATGAGGTGTCCATCTCTTCACACCATGTTCCTATCTCTGTAATTCCCTTCTTCACAGAACATCTCCTATCTTCTCCATCTGATAGCCAGCAGGCCATAATTTGTCCCCAAACTGCCCATTGTCAAAGCAGAGATGTCCATCTTTTAAATGACCACTTCATAGTTGCAGGCTGCAGGGAAGCAGGGAGGTCCCAGTAATGAAGCTATGTGATATATAGCTTGGTGCCCGCCTCCAAGAGGTTCATAATTTTCATGTTCAGGCACAGAAAGTTTACTATACCGTGGTTACAAGTCTGGACTTATGCAAAATGGATGTCTAATGTTGTGTCGAACAAGTGGCTGCTTCAGATGATGTGTTTTATTCTGCAGTAAATGATCCTTCTTTATGAGGAAATGTGGCAGGACAAGGATATTTACAATTTAAATTGACCTTATCTATCATGTTAAAATTGTTCTTCTTTCCATTTACATATGATTTTTCATTTCACTCACATATACCATTGGTAAATTCCCAACCATTTTGTGCAGATATATCTGCTCTTTTATTAAATAACAGGCTCTGAAACTTGAAGCCTTTGACTCCTGTTTTACCCGAGTACAGTTTACCAACCTCCAGCAACAAAACACCTTTGTTTTCCTCGCTTTACATTAAAAGCAGAGAACAAATATTTCCACCACTCCCCTACCACCTTCAATCCAAATGTTATAGAAAGATATGAAAGAAAGAAAATGTGCTGCTCATTCTCAGTCCACACTTGTTATCCATAACAATATGAACATATTACCCAACAAAGAACTTGGGTGGATGCCTACGTAATACGGGATAACAAGTCATACTACACTGTGCCACCATGAATATTACATTTGAATAAATATTTCATGTGGCTTTAGAAGGCAAGATGTCCCCCATAACATGTCCATGTCATCTATGCCACACATGAATTGTTCAGCCTTCTCAAAAACCAGGCATTTGGAGAACTTATAATTTGGAGAAAAAAAACACTTTAATTTATGAATAGCTGTTATCACTTTTCATGATTTACATAGCTAATAAAATTGAAACTGAAATTAAATTTCATCTCTATAATGAGCTCACATCACCAGACCTCACATTACGCAGCAGCTCATTCGGTTTCATCATTTTTTATTCTCTCAGGAAATCTATCCATTCTGTAATTGTTTCATTTTTCAATCAGCTGCCAGAGACACAGAATAACACTCTAATCAGGAAAGGGATGAATTATAATACCTGGATTCAAACCACATCAGCAAAATTTCCCATCTGTATTATTGTAGCACCTGCACCATGGGGAAGATATAATAACTCAAACCATCAGCTTAAAATAGGGGCTTTCATTCAAATTTCTGGAAACTGAGAACCAGCATAAGTCTAGGCATGTAAATTTTAAAAACCAAAAGAGCAGGATTTACAATTAGAAATTCTGCACTGTGATTAATGATCATTTCATCTTGAAAAAGAAAAAGGGAATGGGAAAGTCTGACTTTATGTTCTAGGCACATTAATGATGATAATTAAAAAACAGAACTACTACTAAGACAAACATAGCTTTTATCCTTATTTTCTAAATTGAACACTGTTGACTTCACAATGTTTGGAAGTGTACACATACAATGCACTATTGATTTGAGTACCATAAACACAGTTATCTTGAGAAGCATTGTAGTCTCACATGTGCATCCTTTTCACAGCTGGAATTTGCTGTGTGCCACAAGGGAAAAATGTAACCACATGAATACTGAACACTTCAGACCCTGCCAGCAGGAGATGCAGACCAGTGACCAGTAGATACGGTTACACATTTTACGTTTTTCAAATGCATGCCAAGACTTCCTCCCAGACTATTTTTTTGCACTTTCAATTGATCTAGAAGAGATTATCAGTATGAGAAATTATTGACGTTTGGGGTTAAAAGAAACCTTAAAGGTTTTCTCTGAACAGCAGCCTTTGATCATGAATAGACAGGCTTTCAGTAAGTGCTTCAGTCTTTCCAAGTAAATGTAAAAGAAACTAGGTACAAGATGGGGTTCTCTATTTACACAAAACTCTCAATTTCCTGCCACTGTGTGTTTTTTGGGTCTAAACAAACTTCCAACTGCACAGATCCCAATTGAACATACGTGTTAGCCACACCCATCAAATGTGTCTATACATGTATAACTCTTTCATTATATATCCAATGCTGGTAAAACATGATGAATGTACAACACTATTATTACAGTCACGCTGTTCCTGCTTTAAGCATAAATTATAGGGCTTAAATATGTGGATGTTCTGTCGAATCACCCCACGTACAACTGCAGTGCTATAATTAAATGAGATAATCATATGAATAGACACTAATGAGTAAGAAACAACATACCATCATTGGGCCACGTTGGCATCAAACTCAACGATGAACTACAAATATGCTACTGTTATGATCTGTGGACAAAATTTCATGTTCTCTAGAAACTAGAAGATTCTGTGTAATCTAAATGCCACACCAAAACAGATCAGCCCTATATAACTGATATGAGTATACAGTGTTGATGTGTGCAAGCCACCTCGCTTTTAAATCAATAAATGTGCATGTATGTGTATGTGTGGACAAACTGCTGTTCATTTGATGGTTTATTACAAAAACATTATGTACCCACCTCCAGAGTCAAAAACATCGTCATCCCCACTACTACTGGCTCCTATATCAGCATCCATGTTATATTCAACAGCAAGTATTTCTTTATCAGTTGTCGGTTGTTGAGTCTATACATCCAGACCTTAAAATGTCTCAGCCCAACTCGGTTATTATGTATTAAAATCCAATGACTTCCTGCAAAACCCTAGCTAATCTAGCTTCCCCGCCGCAGCTCTACATCAAGTATTACTTTATCTGCGTAGGTGTAATTGTTCATCAAACAGCCTGTTGAGTGCAGACAACGTTCGCAATTAAATCCAATCCAGAAAAATAAAGCACATGCTATTTAGCTATCCGTTACAGTGACTAGAGAGTGCTGTGCTTAAAGAATGAAATGGCAGTTTTTGCTCGGCTCAGGGATGACAGGTAACTTGGGCACACCTACGCTCCTGACTTAACCAAACAGGTGACAACTCTGAGAATTCCTCCATCCAGGTGAGCTAGTCAACTAGTGGATAGGGTCCTGTAGCATGACTTGATGACGCTTCTGTCAGGAATATTATGCATCACAGAGGAGATTTATCTGATCACCATCTTTACTTCCCCCTCCTAGATCAACTACCACAGACTAGGCTGTTATATATGGCAGTCACACACTCCTCTACTTTGTATTGACTGACTGACTGGCTGGCTGGTAGACTGTACTGCAGCCACTGCCACACTGCACCGGAGCCCCTCGAGTCACTAACACAGTCTAACCTGCTGATTATTCTCAGTCCACTGTTGTTTAGATAGCATCAATGCAGGTAAATAACAAGCACAATGGACAGACAAACAGAGGATTTCATTCTCCACTGAGCCTGTGTAGAATGTGTCTACGTGGTGCCATATTGTCCTCTGTACACCGTGTAGAATTACAATTTTTATTTTTTTCAGAGTCAAAGGCGTGTGTAAATAGCTGGGCAAGCTAAGCCTCATGACAAGTAATGCCTAAGGTGAAAGGCAGGAAACACCTGCCTCCTCTTCCCAACAGCATAACATCCAGACGTGGCCAAAATTCAATATTTTCTTTTGATGAAATCTCTATAATTCCATATGTTCTAATAATACCTTACTCATATAAGCAGTAAAATACTGAAATTTAACGTAGAAAGACTGGTTATGTTAAAGCTCCTATCTCTTATATATCTATGTCAAGTACTATGTGTTCTTACTATTATTATTGTAATTATGTTATTCACATTCCATATTGGACTGAAATTGAGATACCCAAGTTTTGTTATTGAACAGAATGCCCATAGTTTTTCCCAAAAGAACTAACATCAATTCCCCTGGGATTAAGAAGACAATATATAGAACCAAAGCAGATGGTATTGCCAACAAATAAGTTTTCACTATCATACATTCACCACAGACTGCTCAAACCACAAGTAAAAGATCAGCTCACACATGTGAATGCTTACCTCTCTCTTTGTTCAAATATTTGTATTACTCTATATTTTCATGGATCACACTAGCATATATTACTTCAGCACAAGTTCTGAATTTCCCATGAAACCACTTATATATATACACCCCCCCAGTTTATTTTTTAATCTTCTTAGTCAATGTCAATGTTTATATCTTTTGCAATCAGCAAATATTTCATTTGCTGGCCCTAGTCAGATATACCGAGTTGGAAACCTGCATGCACGTACAGAATCGAAATATGTTAGTAGTGTTGTCCAGAATATTGGTGGGTTGTGTGGAAATTTGTAAGGTGTGCAGAGGCAGCAGAAGAACTATAAAAACCTGTGGAAATAGCAGTAAAGCTGTTGAATAGTTTGGGAGGGCCATTTAGTTTACTTCCTTTCAGAAAATTCTACAGGCACCTGTCTGCTGTGTTTTATTTAGCATGTGACTTTGACACCTACCACAGCACACCTACTGCAATCTCTGGCAGAATGAGGCTGGTGTACCTTCACTATAGATAAAGGGTCAGTATATGGCTATTTCCCTGTATACAAAGTAGTACACCAGTCACCACAGTGATTTTATATTGCCCATCTTGAGGTAGTCTGTGACATAATGTAAGACCTAACCTGGACACATTAAAAACAACGTCCAGTTAAAAACACATTTATAAATCACCAGAGCTGCTTGCATAGGATTCAAGGTCACAATTAATTAATGATTCTGCCTACTTACATAAGACCAGGCCAACGCAGCAAGTTGCAAAGTTCAAGTTCAAATTATTTACGATACACAAATTCCATCACAATCACCTTATAAATCTACTTCCAATACATTGCAACAACCTAATCCATTTACCCATATATACAAACTTTAATTTTACAATCTTTTCTAAACTAGTTTAAGTTGAACTCACCCATTATATATAAGGAATTCTTGAATAGACTCGATCAGAACCCATACCAATCTGATATCTCAAAATCACTTTTGCATAAAAAAATATGCTCAGGTGAGCCTGGCTCTCATAGATTTAGTGTACTCACCAACAGATTTCATGGATTCCCTGACATTCCTACTGACAGTGGCCCCTCCATGCTCATGTCTCCTGAACAGAGTGGACTGTGTCTGCACTCGGCCTGTATCCCACTGAACTATATCATGTTTATTGTAACTAGAATGGAAAAGGGAAACAACTCATTTAAAAATGCTGCCATTATAAAAACAACTTAGGGAACATGTTTTGTGAACCAGTAACATTGGGAATTCTGGTTCTAACTATACTTTCTTCATCTGACCACCTTAGTTTTCATAAAAAGAGAAGTAAAGATTTTTCAGTTTCTTGAAGTAGGGAAGCACAAGAATGGATCAAAAAGAGCATCACTGAAGGGAATGGACTTGAAATCTGAACTCAAGTTTATCCTAAATTCCCAAGCAAGTAAAATGGCTTACTCATCAATGATTTGGACAATGTGAAAACTTATATTGTTGGCATATTGAGCTACAGGAAGAAATGGCAGTCTTAAAGTTATGGGAAACATTTAGAACTAAATTTAAATAAATATGGAATATAACATCAAACTCAAGAAAAGAAATAGGTTGAGCAATGATTTGTGAGGAGTAAATTAATTTTCTTTCAAGGAAAATTGGATTTGACAGGAATATCCCAGATAGGATACCTTTACTATAATCTTAGAAAGTGCACAGGTATTGAAGACTCCTAAAATATAGTTTCTTCATTTCAGTATATCGTAATATAAATCATTCAGTGGTGGTAGGTATCAACACAGCAGTGGCTTATCATCAACATTTTCTTGTTTTTCTTGTACATTTTGATTTGTTTACAAAGTAGCCTCAGTTTGTCTTTTAATCTGGAGAATATCAGTTAAGACCTCCTATGACTTACATGTCTTCTTTTAAAAGTGTCCTCCTAAGTTTTATACACAAAACTGAACCAAAAACTTTTTGCAAACACACATATATATACTAGCACCTGAATTTTTTTATGTACTTGATAAGAATTTGCAGTACTTTTTGATGGCTGTGTGCAGAGGATGTATATATATAGCAGTCTACACAAACTAGAAGAACTGCATAATTATATAGCAGAAGACTGAAGCATACTTACCTCATTAAATGACTCCATGGAAACAAAAACCATCAGTCCAAAACTACCTCAACTGGTCCACAAATTAATCAGACCAGAGAGCAAATACACTTATAGAGCTTCCACTTACCCAGTAATAATGCTTCCACAGGAATATATATTTGGTGTGGAATAAATCCCTAGATATTTCTGTTCTGAGTAATGATACATCCTTCATCCATTTATGTGTATTTACAATATTGTCTTCATCTTCCAAATAAGATTCATCACAATATTAAAAATCCTCAGTAAATTTCCCTTAATACTTCCTTTTTCACTTCCAATATCTCTTGTAAAATTCCTTTTGCCTTTGCTTGTTCCTGTCTCTGGAGACCTATAGAATATTATTTTCACCCGCAATCTATTGAAAAACCATTCCTTATACATCCACTGTATTTGACAAGTATGTAGCACCTTTGTACAGGTAAAAGAGTTCTAGATCTGCGCACTACCTCTATACTTACTAAGCCAGGTAATTACAAGTCAGTATAACACTGTGGGATACTGTGCTTAATTATTCATTTGCATGATAAGGATTAAAGGTGGTCATTTTTTATCAAAACCATCTGGAATATTCTAGTATTAACCTGGTAATGAATCTGAATTATTTCTCAGGAACCACCCACCTTCCCTTGCATCACTGGTCCTCAGATTAAGGTCATTTCTCAAGCAACACTTTTTTTGGAGATCATACTTTAAGGTGCCTTACATCCAATTCATAATAATTGGCAAAACAAGTCCAATCATCAATATTTCATTTCTGCATTAATATCAATTGCATTTCTATGTATGGGATGTCCTCTGGCCTGACATAGACAAGAACTCATTATACATTAACAAAGACTAATTGCATATCTCTGTCATATCAGTACCTGAACATCTAAATTCACCAGTGGTATCTTTTAACTTTTCACTCAGTGTCATTTAAAGGAAAGCTGCTGCAGTAACAAAAACTTTTTCTTTTTTTCTGCTCTTCCTGGAGCAGAGGCACTCATTTTCAGGCAAATGCTTTTAACATAATATTTTTTCTCAATCACATGTGCAGCACATTTCTAATGCATGCTCGAAAAAACACAAAAGGAGATCTGTAAGACTGAGTGATTTATAGCAATTGTATTAATGGCTGGAATATTCATGGGTGGGAATTTACACAGTAAATACTGATGTGAAAGCTGTGTTGACTTTCTGTCCAAGTCCAACAAAACCAGCCAGAATATGAAGCTAAGTCTGCTTTGTAGACTCATCAAACACACAATCAGTTGGAATCTATTTTCAACAACATCTACATGATGAAGTCATTGTGAGAATTCAGGGCACATTAGGGATTTGCTTTATGTCCCCATTCTAATTTCTGCAAATCCTCAGTGATGAATGGGAGGCACTAGAAAAACACAATGTGTCCATATATAAACTATGAACTGCATGTATATTTGTATTTTATCTAACCTTCATTCGAGACTGTGTGAAATACTTGCAGACTTGTCTTTCTCTAAATTAAACTTATTCATAATTCTAATTGAATTATAGCATAGCCCTGCTTGGGCATTCTTGGAAGTTAATTACTTATGAATGGTAGACTGCATGCCAAAGAACAATTTTTCATTTTCAATCAATGAACTCCTGATTCTATCATGAAAACAGTGAATCATGACCTGCCAATAACAAATATGATAAATAACCAAACACACCAATTGCACAATTCAATTATATGTCTGCATATATTTTTATCAATATTATTATTATACATATGTGTACTTACTCAGTAAATAAGTCTGCAAATCCCTCCATGTCTGATTCCTGAGCTAAATCTCTTGGAAGCTTGTTCTGTCTGTTGGGCAGCTGCAGTGCATCCTCACTGCCTGGCTTATCCAACAGGAATGTGGTGAACTGTTTCAGTCCCAGACGAGCACTGAAATGCAGCAGGGTCTCCCTCGGCCTTGGTTCTGTGTGAGTCAAGGAAAGAAAATAAAAGAAAATGAGGATGTATAAAAGTCCAAAGCTGGCGCCTCAAACATTCTACATCATATTCATATGACATAGCCTGACCTTGGTTCTACTGGTCCTTTACGAGAAAAGAAAATGAGAAAGAGCAAAAGTCCACAGTGCCTACCCTACACTTAACTATATAATATTACTAAGAAATTCTTCTGGCAGCCCCAGATGACCTTCTTATTATTGTGTGCCTTTTCCTATTTCATGGTCACTTTGAATTACTATGGTTGACAGAACATGCTCCTTGCTATTATAATTATGTCACACTGTGACCCTTCACCAAAGATGTGATTGGACTATGTACAACCTGGATATTCTACCCTCCAGACAAACAATTCCTCCATTTTGACTCTTAAGTCTTTTCATGTGAAATGAAATGCAAACCTATTGCGTAAACCAGCTCTTAAACATTTATTTATCTTTAGATGGACTATGGATCTGATGTCCAAGTGAACTACTGCCTTTGCATGAAGGTTTTTCTTATGTCTTGGTTTCTATAATGGGATTCAATCATTTTTACTTTTCAATATATCAGTTTAGAAACAAAGAAATACCACTAATTTGACCAACTTAGGCTGAAAAACTGGGCACAATTAGCAGACATTGCAAAGGGTAACTTCTAAAGTGCATAATGACCACTGAGCTCTGGTAAAAACCACAAAGAACACAAGACTTCTGATTATCTTAGTAGCTTATCAAGAAACACCCAGCAGGAAAAACATTTCTCATCTAAACATTCAGAAGACCCACTGGTTAAAAAACATGCACAGACACACATTATACACTGGGCAGACAGAACATGGCTGTACATTCCCAAAGCCTGGGGGCCCAAAGTGACAGACCAATCTGCCAGATCTGGTACCAATGACCTTACCTATGACTCATCAAACTGTTGACACCTCACTAACATAATAGTAAGAAATGGTTACCTAATAACCAGACAGTGATCACATTCTGGAATTACTAGAGCATGTTATCTGTTTCAGTCAAATAGCATTTCTTATCCAATCAATTAAAATCGAGGGATAACAAAGAAATATTTCACATTTTCTGTAGACAATCTAAATTATCTCATAAGCATTTGACTATACTGAAAGAGATTGGTTTTGCCTAATAAACCATCTACATCTTCAAGATCAATAATCACACTTATTTTCAGTTAACAATTATCTTTTTGGACATACAAATATTCCAGTATAACCTTCTGAGGGCTTACCCTAAAGTGAGAATTTCAGCGTCTCCTGCTGATTATGGTTACTCACTACACAACTAACAAATCTCTCTAATTCTTTAAGTTTAGATCAGATTTTACAAATTTGTCAAATTCCAAAATTTCCTGAAATGTTTACTCCCTGGTTTTCCTGTTCATTTCCACCCCAGACACCTTTAAAGACCTTAAAAGAACAGCCAACTTCCTGTACCATACCTATAGCCTTCACAGACAATTTTAAACCTAGTTCTGAAATATCAGCTAGTTTCCTCTGGTTTCACTCTGGGAGCTGCTGGCTTCAAGTTGTAATGATACTCCTCATTGAAGATACTATAAACACCAGGTGTCTGCGGAGTAACAACTTTTTTCTTTCTAGTAGAGGTCTGTTCAGACCAGCTCCAACTTAAAACTGAAATAAAACTAAAACGCAGCTCGACTGATCTAATCAATCAGGTCTATGAGACATGATCAGGGGAAAAGATATTAATGCCTGTGATGTGAAGTGATAGGATCTTTGTGTTACCTCATCCTCCACACTCACAGACACCATTTAGCCTTGGACATTTGGTTCCTGCTCAATGAACCTGGTCTTCTGTAATGATTTTATCTTACATAGATTTCATCCAAACAGACTTGGAGTTATTTAGTAGTCTAAACACACAGATGACCAATTCAATCCCGCCACAGCCTGAACAGACTCCTTGGGCACCACAGGAGTAAACAGCAAAACACAAAAGCACAGACTGAGCTGAAGATACATGCTGGGCTTGTCTTCAATGTAGTCTACAACTGGAATAAAAAAACTAACGTAATACAGTTTTTCCCAGAAAAGAAAAAACTCGGCATTTTAAGACATCTCTTTCCTGTTCTTATTTCCGACAGTGTACATATCAGAATAAACCAAGTGAATTTAAACTTTCTAAAAAATCCAATCTACCCTTTAATAAGAACGCCTTACCACAGCCAACTGGTGCTAATTAACAGGCACTAGTAACACGAAAATGTAGCTCATTACTTTTCCATCAGTCAGGAAGTTTTCTTTTTTACTCGGATGCCCTCCTCAAGCAAACAGTGTGGAAAGATTATGAGATTTTGACACATTATTCATTGCTGAAAGTTAATTTCTTAGCAATCTGTATAGTTTGAGAAAAACAACAACTAAAATAGTGTGTGTGTGTGTGTGTGTGTGTGTGTGTGTGTGTGTGTGTGTGTCATAATGCATGTTTCAACTGACCATACATAACAAACAAAAATAGGTGTAAACAAACCAGAATGCTATACCTCATCAGCAACCATAGACAATGCAACTATTTACCTTGACCAAGCAAACAATCAGAGTAATCAACTGTCCTAACCACACCCAACTCCAGTGTCTCACCATATTGATTTCTCAATGATGCTTGCCAGTGCTACGTAGGACTGGTCTGTCTGATGCCATGTTGTTCTATTCAGCATTACACATTTCTATCAGATCCCAGTATTATTTTACATTTACATTTCTTCAGACACAGTGGAAGAACTAACATTTTTTTATCACGAGCCATTCAATTAATATATAAAATGTATAAAGAACATACCTTCGTCAGGAAATCCAAGTAAATTCCAAGTATCCGGTACATGTAAGTGCTCAAAGGCCTTGGTCAACCGGTCATCCAATGTGGACAGAACTTCATTAGTCAAGTCAAAATGTTCAGATTTGATCCCTTCTAAACTCTCCAGTGCATTAGGATTGTACACACTCTCCATTAAAAATTGGGCCATATAGTATGCAGAATCATAGAGATAGAGGAAGTCACTTGTTGCGATTGTCTTGCTGGGTTCTCCATTTTGGCACAAACAGATACTGAGCTGGACCACCTCGGACTTGTCGTGTTCTAGAAGAAAAGATGTTGTCAGTAATTATAACGTATATATAATACTCTTAAATAACTTGCAACAGAACATGCACATGGCTCACCTGAAACTCCTGCCATAATGATCTGCCCAAATAATCAGCCAGGCACTTGATGAGAGGCAAACAAATATGGTACAATAAAATATTCATACACAGATGAGATACCTTGTAATCCTCTCCAATATCACAAGTGTGCCATGCACACCATGATTCATGATCATCTAACAAAACAATATTACCGCTGCCTTTCCTTATGATTCAATATCATCAAAAGCAGAAAGGGTTATAATGCCATATTTTACGTAAAAACTCTGCTCATGAATGCTGCTCATGATACTCAACAGAGCAAACAGGTTGTCATTCCTGCAAAAGTACAATAGATATTATTGACTCGTTCTGAGTTAACCTGTTATCACTGGCAGAAGCTGTAAGGAATCTCTGTAATTACTCTACCAATGCCACAGAAATAAGAGTTGACCAGCTGCCTATAAAACTGCCCTGCCTTGGATGTCTTTAAATAGCATATACATTTAAGTCAGTGAACTGAGAAAATCAATGCTCTCTGTCAATGCTATACATGTGTCAGTGGTAAGTCAAGTCTACCTGCCCTGAAATAAAAAGTAATCAATTATACTGTATTCAATGAAAACATAGCAAGCATGGATCTGTATTGGGCAAACGGCACTACCCTCAAAGGTCAGATATTGACTCATGTTAGTTAAAGTATATTGACTTTGTGTCAGTGACTTTTTTGTATGTTCTGAAAGTCAATGTGCAGTCAAACCTCAGTGCATGAACATTCCTAATCATGAACAAATAAGTTTACAAACACAATTTGTGTACAAAATTTGAGTTGGTTAATGGACAATGATGCAGGGAAACTTGTGCACCAACTCATAGGCTTCCACCTTGTTTCATAGAGCAGTGTTTGTGTATGTACACCTTTAAGATTACTTGTTTATTATTCACATATTTTTTTAACATTACTACTGTAACATTCAAAGTAGCCCTACAGACACCAAGAAGGTTTAAAGTATCAGTTGTTCAAAGGTTGAAAAGAACATGTTATACTGCAGAAATGGAGAATGAAAGAATTAGCCAAAAGATGAGCAGGGGTAGATGAATGTAGTTTTCATGGCTTTCTGAAAATGGTTCAAAATTTTTCTTGGAAGGTATTTTCAAAATGTTAAACTGGTTACATGTCCTTGTTATTGATTCTGGAGCTTTATAATAACATGCTTAATATCATAAAACTTAATGATAAAAAAGAGCCCTCAGACCCATCATGTTATGATATAAAGTGACTGGCTGTACAGGACACCTGCTGCTGTACCCTGGGAAATCCTGTGACAGGTCCAACTGCCAGGTGAACCTCTGCCTAATTACTGTTAGAAAATATTCACATCATCTGATGACTAATTCCACTGAAGGTAGCAAGGTATTTTCTGCAATCTGAAATGAGTTCTTGCAAAAAATCTATCATTTTTTAAAGAACAATTACCTCCAGACAAAAGCCAGACAAGTGACTCTAAACCTGCATCCAAAAATTCAACGACAAATATTTTATTTAGGCATCATCTGCAACACACACCTAAAAAGTCACGTTTCCATCTCAAAGCAAACACGTGCATGTTTTCTTCAACTTGTACAAATTTACCTGTTAAAGAATGCCAAAGTAAAAAGACTATTAAATCACAATTGACTTAAAAATCACAGTGCTGGTACAGACCTGGAATTACTGCCTCTAATGTGGGAGGGTTAATCCGCTGTCCTACACAGATGTGACGCTGTGATGACCCTTGAAATATGAAGTACGCCTCCGCCTCCTCTGGTAACAGGGAATGATCTGAAAACGAGGCCACGATGGTTCCCCCTCCCTGGAAAAGGAATGTATTGATAAAAAGGAAATAAAAGTCAAAATGTTGTAAAAAATTGTCTTGCAATGCCCTTAAATGTGTGCAAAGTTGTGATATTTCAAACAAGTGATGTTTTTTAGACTCAAACTAAACAGCGTGATATCTAGGAAACTCCACCTGATCTTTTTGGTATGCAAGCAAGGAGCTACTCTCACCTATTCTTCAAGGGCTGTCTTGTACTGGTGTCAAATGGGTGATTTAACAACAGCTATTCCTTGTTTGTACTCTACTTATTATATCACGCAATCAGAGACATGGGTGAAAGGCTATGAAATTCTCCAAGGACGCCAGGGTTTAATTTCCTATTTTGCTCTAATGTTCAAAAGTGATTTAACACTCAATGTAGAGGATAAACCTTTTAAAAATATTTCAGGATTTTGTATATATTATTGACAGGCAATCAGGCCCAGACACTTGATGTAACCACATTTTGTGATATAATGCAGTGTCATTGCATCCATCCCCTGGGTTGCAGGCCAAATATTGACAGGATTCAGAGGGATTAGCAAATAAGCAGTAGACTCAAGTGGTCAACTTTTTTCTACATATGCAATGAAGGTTGTGGCATTTCCCCCCTTCAGTCCTATAACAACACAAAAGCCTTTTCAACCTTTTGCCTTGAGTCTACAATACCAAACAAATACCTTAAGAGGGTGAACAATGGCAACAACTGTTGACTAATTCTTCTCAAAGAGAGTCAAAATGCCGCCCTTCTCTGCCTATTTAAGTCCAGGATTTATGAACGATGCTCTAACACACTGCAATGCTGTGTAACATCTTTTAGCCCAATTAAGCAATGGTATCCAGTTCATTGATGCTTCTGGCTCTGTGTTTCATGAGTGATTAAGCCTGGGAGTTGTAAATTCAAAGGTGCTGCTGATTACATAGAGGGTTTAATGTCCCATGAACATCACCTGTTCTGCTTTGATCATGCTGGTCTTTAAGTAACCTCCGCGTTAGTTTACATACACACATGGTACCTTAGTATCAAATCTGGAACTTATGTTTAAGTGCATGTCTAACTATAACCAGTAATGGTTCAACTGATATTTTTGCAGAGAAACGAGATGCCATAAAGACTCTAATCAAAAAGACCCAATCAAGCATTAGAATTAGAATTTCTATACAAAGCAATCGGCTGTTTGGTGATATTAGTTGAACTAAATTCAATAAATTGAAGTGAGATCAGTTCTGAATGTGTCTCATATATACATACAGGTAATAAATCATTACCTACCACTGGCGTCCTATACATCTACAGATATTAATTAAACAAGAGTTTTCAATTAGCCTGGCAACTGTTGTGTCAAGTGCAGGTAAGAACCGTCCTAATCATAAATAGCAAATCTTTCCTTTGATCTGGGATTTAAGTCAGACTTGCTACTTCTTATTGGTCCTGATATTGCAGCATGGTAAGGTTAACACCAATTACATAGCAATGAAAAAAAATCTGACTTGGATATGTATTAAATCAGTGTATCTAATTTTACTATTGGTGTCTTGATAAGCTGTACTTACATATACTGGAGCTTCAGTGGGGGTATAAGCCATCCTCCAGCCGTCTGAAAATACAAACATAGACTGGAATAATGTGCTTGTTCAAATAGAAATAAATAATTCAAAGATGTGAAAACGGAAGATAACACCAGTATTTTCCTGAAATTTTACCTGCAGATATAAAATTATTAAAATACATATCTCATTCATTCCTCACTGAAAAGCTAAAACCAATTCAGCCACAGTTAATGCAAAACACATTAAAAGAATGCAAAACTGCCTTTCAACATTCCGAGCACAATTATAGAATATGTTTACAGTTACAGGGGTTACTCTTTATACTCATGTTACACCCGACACCCACTCAACAGACTGAATATGTTTTGATGCAACCAAGACAGGATTGTGCAATTTTGGCTTTAAAAAAAAGGAGGAAAAATGTTAAAAGTGCCTTCAAAATGAGAGAAAAACTGTGTTTAATATCATGTGCATTATAAGTTGCACATGTCACAATTCATAGTCAGTGAGACTAGTTATTTATCAAATTTTTACTTCTCAAATTACATAATCATATTATCTGTTGAAACCTTTCACAATATCAGCTATACGTTAAACTTGTTCTGAATGCAGTGAAAGGGTGTTGTGCGGGTGTCACAACAATATTCCATGTTCACACCCCTTTCCTGGGTGTTTTCTCATCATAATGCAGTTTGGGGGGGGGGGGGGGGCATTTTAGCCCAGGTCTAAATAATATCCTATGTATGTTAGCCTATTTGAGGCACTGGAGACCCAGGTGAACAACACAAAAATCTCCCCCTTCACAGATTGCTTATAAACAGCATGTCACAAGTGGTCAACTCAAATAACTGCCCATCACTTCTGGTGACAAGCTTTATAAATCTTGGACAATAAAGTCATTTGATGTCATCAAGCAGCCAGTGACATGTCCTGTGTAATCAACCCCAATGTCTCACAACACAGTCAATTAACTCTTGACCCAGCAACTAATAGGAAACCCAAGCATCTGCCTGAGAGACATTTGACTACAAAATAAAAGTCTTTTACAACATCTTGTTGACACTGGACAATGTTCTGATAAATAACCTGTCTCAACCTCTGGGTCAAAGTGCCCTCCCTGTACAAACTCAACATAAAACACTGGCTATATGAGACACAAGATAACTATCCCACCAGATCTTCCTTTACGAAACTGACCAATACAATTTCCAGAAATTGCCCAATACCAGTGACCAGTACTAATCAAGGACAAGGTTAAGAAATTCACCCCATCTTTGGAATGGTTTTGAAAACGATTATCTTATGTTTAAGTATAATACAATAATAACACAATTTAACTCTGATCAACACAAACATTCTTAATATCACTTTCTCCCTCATGAGCATACCTGCTCTTTTTGTCAGTTGTTGGTTCTAAGATGGACTTAAATATAATCCTCATAACCCACCTGGCTATGGGCATGGTCCTATTATAAGGATGAGGAATACAATAATGTGCTACTAGTAGGCAGAAGAATGTAAAACAAAGAGTTAGGAGCTAGTAAATCTACCGAGGTGCAGACCAATGATTCAATGTTGCATGACGTATGGTATTATCAGAGGTGCTTTTCAGGAATACCACCCAGTTCATTTTATACCATCTAAGGTATGACATAGCCATGTTACGACAACATACCTTAAACATCTTTTAACCACATTAATTTATCGAGTTAAATCCTTATAATGGCCAGGCCTGAAGAATACTGGCCTATGCCCATCTGATTAGGGCAAATTTTCAATAATGCTAATTAATAGGTGGAAGGTGAAACCCCAGAAGGGAGGATTAGTGTCCAGGCTCCTCACTTACCCACAGATCTTTTTTCCTTACTTACTCTTGTTACATTCTACTATGTCTGCATGCCTGAGATGCCAAAGATTGTTGTCTGATATTGTCAACAATCAAACAAGCCCAGTCTGGGCCATCACCTGTGCTATCATGTGACAGGGCAGGGGGGAAAAACAATGGAGAATGTGGTAGTGGTGGATTGCAGCAGGTGTGGTGCAGTTTCCATTGTGGTAATGATATGAGTAATGATGTTCAGAATGTAATGCTGTCTGTAATAAAGGGGTTTAAGTAAAAAAAAATGCAAATTTGTACAGAGGATGCACGGGTCCTTTACCACTACCACCTATAAAATAAAGCCACTACATTTTAAACCATAAGACTCTCATCATATCCACTTTTCTATGTTGCATCTTTGACTAAGGGTACACAGGTAATGTCTTTTAAATCAAAAATTACCACATAAAATTTCTATGCTTCTTTTAAAGACAAAACTTAATCAACCATTATAAAGCATATACTTGAAATCATTTTAATTTGCCTAATTTCTAAAGAAAAAAAAGATACAATCATGTACTGACATTATGATTCTACACTCTATTCCATCAAAACGTAATTTACTGTTCTTATTTCAAAATCCCTTCCTTCCACCTGGAAGGACTGAGTGCTGTTATTTAGGGTGCAACACAATCTTTATCCCACCTCCACCTTGTTTCATGCTTCCTATTACCCAAATATACACAGGGTCGTAATAAATGTCTCCAATAAAATGCCTGTAAAATGGGCTAATATGTGAACAGGTATTAGGATTTACTCAAAGGATTTAGACCTTTCCGATAATGCCATTTTACCACGGACAATGTAAGAGAGACAGAGATCATTAGTAGGTCAAGTGGTCTCTCTACAGTAAAGTTCTTTTCTTACCCTCTACTTAATTTCAATATGGTAATGGAGTTGATGATGACAAGAAACAACTTCACACTCAATGATAAAGTTAAATTGCAAATTCTGTTTACAAACACCATAAAATACATTACTTGCATTTTTTAAAACTTTACTTTCACTAGAAACCTTCTTTGCAGTATCTGTCCATATAACTACTTTCCATCAATATGTATAACCCCTTTCTGCACCAATCTGAAAGACAATCTACTTAGATTAAGCTTTCTTAAGCAAAAGGGGGGTTTTTCACATAGAGGGATAAGAGACTGTAATAGGAATACCTTTGAATAAGTAACATGATGCCAAATCATTTCCACTTTTCAAACATTTCAACTTTCCAGAAACATCCAATGCAGACAGAACACACACTCCATTAATTCATAATGGACCAACAATGCAATTGATAGGTGGGGTCCAAGTAAGAGTGCTCAAGTGAACAAAATAACCATAGCAACCAGCACTAAGGAACTCCCCCAACCTCATACTTAAAAATAACTGAGGGCTCAGGATCATTACCACTTTAACTGCTTCATAGTACTCGTTTGCCATTTTCTGAAGACTATGGTGGTCTCACTGGGTCAATTTTCATTGCTTTGTGAAGACTTGTAAAAGTATGTATCACCAGCATTAACAAACATTCTGTGCCAAGAATTTTTTAACTTCGCTTTCAAACAACATATTTCAGTGAAGAATGTCTGCTAAAGTTCACCTTTTTTATTTATAACTCATTGTTGTGAAAGATATGTCATTTATACAGCTTTTCTAACATAACTGTCACGATTTAAGCATAAATCATTTTATAGGTGTTAATAATGCCTTTTATTACATTCTATTATCCTTTACTTCTTTTATCATTTTGGGTAAAGCTGGGAAAAATAATGATGAAACCAATTTAACCCATCTCTTACAACCATCTTTTTATATTGTTATTCGGTATCAGTTAAAAGCATTTTAGAAAAAAAAAAAAGCCCAGCAAGATTTCTATCACCATTTTGAAAGTAACTGCTGTGCAAATGAATGGGCTGTACTTAGTATTCCATGATGGCACTCAGTTTGAGGACAGATGATGTCATTTTATGCAGGTTTCTGTCAAATGTTGCATATTGGATAAAAAAGCTAGACAGAAAACTGACAGCCCATTTACACTCCCATCAGTAGCTAATGCAGACTTGTATCATCTATATAGCTTATGAATTTTAATGAAAATATAACTTCAATGCATTATGTATATGCACAGCCATAAACGAGCTATAATAACCTTCTACTGTGCAATATCTGAAAATCACCTCAAGTAGAATGTATTCTGTTCAATATCTTCTTCTCCTATAATGACACTTTTTAAAAGTGCAATAATGAAAATAAGTCACCTTCCAGCTATTAAGAAATTGAGCTATTTTTAGCTCAAACAGCAACTTTTTTTTTACTAAGAACTCATATTGAACCCTTAACCTGCCTTTTTCTTATCAATCAATAAACTGATATAAACAGAGTCAAATGCCAAAGATGATATATTTTTATTGTTTGTTATATTTTTCTTAGATGTTTTTCCAAAAAGAAGTATCAAGTTGTAACAGGTGTTCTGGTGATAAAGAATCAGGCTTATATTACACTTCAGTGCCAGTCCAATCAATATCACACCACAATGATAACCATAACCTACTGGTTCAGGTAGAATGGTTTCCTCTATACCAAGAATTATTATTATATCAATAAATACTTATATTTCTTCCATTAACACTTTACTTAAATAAATACTTCCTACATCTTAGAACAACTATATTCACATTAACTTGATATACACACCTAAAAACATACATGGTGGGAGTAAAATAAATATGATTTCTGCTATATATATTTTTTTCATCATTATATCCACATGTGCAAATAAGTTTTCTATTGGATGTTCAAAATTTAATGTACAGTTACACAGAGAAAACACACTACCACACAGGTGTTTCTTCCTATAATCTATTACCATACCTTGCCAATGTGGCTACCTAGCCAGTTCATTTCCATATGTTAAAAGCGTTAAGGTCTGTTATGATGTTAATTAAAAATTTTCACTTTAAAATCCTACTTTTGACTATTATTCCTTAAGCATTGCTAGCACCAATACAACAAACAAGAACAGTATTTTCTATAATCCACTGCTTATCCTAATGGGGCATCACCAGGGCAACCTTTAAATAATGCTGTCCTAAATATTTTGATAATTGATATCATTCACATAAAAACAACCCACATGTACAGTGAAAACATCAGCCTGTAATATTTAAATGATTTAAAGAACCTGTGGAAGTTGCTGGAATATGAAAAGAAGTATATTTGCACATTCCAATGCCCATTGCAAAGCAATTTAGTTCTTTAAATTAAGGCAATAATCAAGTTCAGTCTATATATAGTCTATGCACCAGTGAACCAGACAGGTGCCTGGTTTAAGTCTTTCTTTTTAATGTATGTCTTAACTGTCTCAAACTGCAAAGTGCCTGTACAAGAAACCATAACTTATATTAGTTCCCACAATAACAACTCAAAACTCCAAATTCTAAACCTTACAGGGAATTATGCAAACTCTCTCATTTCCAACTGAGCAGAAAATTGTCCTACCTGCATCTGAATAAATTCCAGCTTCAGGAAAAGACATCTCTTTTGAGTCCTTCACCTGCTGCTGTTGTTTTTCTGACATTTTGAAATAATATGCCAAAGTCTCTCCTTACTTCCTACTACACCGGGATGTGGAAAGATGAAATCCTTTGCAGTGTTCTTACTGAAGGTTTCCTAATATAAGACAGGTCTCCCATCGAGGTAGTGATTTAAAATATACATGAATGTGGATACTAGTAGCTTACTGTATTTTCTGTCCTGGTATACACCGTAGATAGGTTAACATGCATTAATAGTATATAAAGCACCTGCATATTGAACGCGTGTGATCAAATACACCAGTTGGCAGATTACTGGTTTTCACAGTATGCAAACTAGGACAGAATGACACACACACACACACACACAGCCATACAACACCTGTTTGAATATTAGTTACTTCACATAATGATTGCCTATGGAACAGCAGTTCCTGGTGATGTGCCTAACTTACAATATATCCTTAGATTTCTGATGTTTTTAGATGAAACACCATCACATAAATATTATATCATTCACAATATTTACCTTATCACAGAATAATCTACTATGAATTTTTAAGCACTCAGATTATACTCATTGCATGCGTCACATAAGATAACCAGTTTAGCAACACTAGTATAAATAAATGATGCCATTATACCACAGGACTAGTAAATTATTGTACACACCTTCCAGTGACAGCTTTTTTGAGTTAAAATTGAGTCAAATATAAAAACACATCAAGGTGATAATGTGACACCTTTACACACAAGCATATATGTACATGCATGCAAACGCAAAAAAAGGGGACTTGGATCAGTAACTGATTATGAAGTATGACCATAAAAACAAAAGGTCATTCCAAAGTATCATTCCTAAATATGCCCCTTTCTCTAAATATAACCCTTTCATTTTTTTTACATCCCTTTTTTTACATCCATAATAAAAAAAATTACATAATTACACAATGTTTTAACTACAGCCAAATGTAAAACAGAAGGAACCACTACCATTTTGGAATGGCATTTTATATTATACAGTGATTCCAAGAGACCCTTTTATATAATATAATCATAAATCTACCAACAGATTTTAAGCTAGGGGCTCACTTTAGATCTCAACATCCAACATAAAATAACTGTTTCTACATCACTGTGATTAGCAGGCAGGGGTCATTTTCCATGGAGCCTAACGATGAACATTAACTATAGTGAGCTCTTCTCAAAATAAAGTAAATAAAGTAAAATAAAGTAAAGAAAGAGGGCATAACATTATGTACATGTAAACAATAATGGTCAGTCACACAATGCAATGTTCACAATGAAAGTTATAAGGCACTCCTGATGCAACATTCAAACTTAGTTCACAATTGCATGGAAGATCTTCATCTACTGTAAATGTCCAGTACTGCCAGTTAAATTATTTTCAGTCTACGTGAGTCTGAGTGTGGACCAGGCCTAAAAGAATGGAGTGTAAAAATATCCCCTTGTAAACTCGTGTCCAATCAGCCTGGGTCAGGTAGGACTTACCTAGCAAATCAGCAATAAAACACAGAGATCAAAGAGACCCAGCCATCTAGGCTATCAACTCCTACTACCCTGAGCATGACAACAAGAGAATTAAAATGCCTTGGTACATCATCAAAGGTCATTTACCCAACAGTAAAATGAAACAGTGTGGCATAATTTATACAACAACAGAATTAAGCTAACTCAGTAGACTGGAGGTTGATATTCTCAACTAAAGAATGAGGCGATGTGGCTGCATTCTGAACTGGGCTAACTTAAACCAGAAATAGTCTATAGTTGAATTGTGATCTAGTGGACTGGCACAGGTGTCTGTACAGATCATCTCTAGCCTTGGGCGGGGTATGGGTTGGTGTGTGTGTGTGTGTGTGTGGGGGGGGGGGGGGGGGGGGGGTAGGGGCACCAACTTATCAGGACTTGTGGGAGCACCCACAACATAGGCTAATTTGCAAGGCAAGGTCAACTCGATTACTTCTGACCAAAAAATTTTTAATAATTTCTACCACCTCTCCATAACTGAATAATATCACTATATATGAATGCAGCAATGTCAAGATTGTACAAATCTGTCCCATTACACTCAACAAGGTGCACTTGTCCATGCCCACTATCTGGGCTGGGTTGTGTGTATTGGATTTCAAAGTGCTCACAGAATGACTCACCTCACTCTCCTCTACTGTCAGCTCTCTGAAATGACACAGCCTTAGTATAGCCAGTCTGTGAGAAATTGACTACTAGTACTGGTACATAAAATAGGGGGACTAACACACTGACTGACCCATAACTCCCGGCATCAGATGAACTGATAGAGATTTTCTCGGACAGTACTAAAATTGGTAAGACATTAGTATGACATATGCCCACATGCTTGTAAATGCCATTTATGAACTGAATTCAATATGAATATGTTTATAACTGGATTAACTATGTAACAGACTGATTTACGTCACCAGACCACCAGATAGCTGGCATATGATTTATCAGTCTGCAGTGGAATGAAGAGTTCATGTTGTCATGTGACTGCATGTGCCATGAGTCTGTTTCAGTCTAAGACTATGTGTGAAGTTCAGAACAAATCTACAGTCAACAGGCCCAACTTACCTCAACCACCAACACTCTACAGGTTATTGTGACATGTGGACAGCACTTTATTAGTAGCTATTGGTTCATTAATGCTTGAAACTATAGGGTTACTATAGGGTCAGTTATCAGTTTTCTGACACACCCTTGGATATTCCAACTGACAGGTTATACCTAATGGGAAATGTTTGTGTTTATACATATATACACAAGGTTTCATACATTGTTCTCATAATATACATGTGTAGACCTATTGTTTACCATATTATGAACAACAGCAACTTTTGTCAACAGTGCAGGAAGTTGCCAACTTGCACACTTGTTCAAGGTCAAAAAATGCATAATCACATTTAAGGCCTTTTCACAATGAGCATTATATCTAAGCTATAGAGTTGAAGCAATATGTTCTGAGAGTTTGTACCTTGTAACTACTCTACTTGGGACTTGTCTCTGTTTTACAACTTCTCCCTTAGTACATTTCCTGATGTATGAGGATGTTAATTAATTGTTCAAATTGAAGGTGGGGGAAAGGAGATGTTGAAGCAGGGGTCCATTTAGGTGATTCTCTTACATCATAGCCAAGCCATTAAGCTGTCAATAGTTCAAAACACATCATTCCAGCTGTATAACTCAGATGTAATGCTGGAAGTAAAAAGGCCTTTTACACCAACAGTTTAACAAAATATAAATAAAAAATTAACTAAAAATAAACTGTTAAATAGGCTATCAATTATCAGTACAATGCAAAGTTAGTAAAAATACAAACAGTATGAATTCATAAGTTTAAATTGTACAGAGAAAATGCCATTATTTAACAGGTGCCGCTATTAATGTAAGAGTCACCAGTATAAACATCAATGTTACCTCCTTGAAACATGGCTCTTCCAATGGGTAGATGTCTCTCCTTTCACTTGAATGGAATTCTACCACAATTCATAGTCCACTGTAGACGTAGTTGTAATAGGTATATGCTGAACAACATCCAATCTTCAAGTCAGCACATGCTCTTAAAACTTAACACTTCACAAGGCCTGTAAAAAACATTCACAGTTTAAGCCCATGATCACTATGTTGGCACAGTAAAGTAGGTTAAATGCTTTTGAAGTTGCACCTGATGGTAATTGTAAAGTATGGTATGGCTGTCGCTGAAAACCTTCAGACTCTATGTTCAGAGATGGAGATTTGTCCATAAATAAAATCAAAATTGCATCCTTTTAAAGGTCACAGGTGGATGGTATAACAGTGAGCATATTTATGACCAAGTCAGTTAGTAAAAGACAATACCTCATACATTTTTTAAATGATGAAGTTTTCTAGCAAACAGCAATAATGTAGCTTTCAGACATATAAACATGTTTGGAATATTTTGCAAGCAGCATATCCTCTAGTCTACCCAACCATGAAAATAGAATTCTCAAAGTTTTACAAGCAAGAGCAAGAGGAAACTTGTTAATTTGCATTAGTTTTAGTTTAACACATCAACTTATATTAAAATGCTACCTGCAGATAAGGTTTTCCCTCTTCAGTGTTGCATACAGTAGCCTGAATTATTAAACAAAGTTCACTGATTATTGCAGACTTGAAACCTGTTCCTAGTAAAAGCAGTCAATGCATCTAATGGGCACATAAATGCTAAAAGAACTCCAGAAAGAATGCAGTTATGTCATACAAATATTATTGCTTTTTTTAATGGCAAAAGCACCCACTAAAGTCATGATTAATGTAAAGTTTTGGAGGCCAAGCATGACTGTTTCAGACTAAATTCTTATAAAGAATCAGCAGACTGACCCGATGTGGGAAAAAATCTGGTCTACAGGATATTTTACTCTCAACTGTACTGCTGTTTCAAGTTCAACTTCAAGCGACAGTTTAATTGAAAATTATCAGCAAAGAAATAGTGTGTCGGTGATTATTTCTAGCCCTATGCAGGTCAATTTGCACAAAAATGTATCAAGTCTACATTCAGGAACTTCTCTACCCCTCACCCAGTGTCAACCCCTCTGTATTCTCTGATGGAAATTATCTGAGAGGCCCTAAAATGTGACTGTTGTCACTGTGAGACAAGATAACAATTTTTGTGAGAATCCATATAAGGCAGGGTTAGCTTTCTAGCCATAAGTGTGAAACAAAAGTGATACCCAGAACATGGTGGACTCGTAATGGTCATTTTACGTGTAAATTCAGTGGGTAAAAGCTGTCTTCTTTTATTCATAGCTGTATCATATCACATTCACCAGTCTGCCATTATTTCTGACCCAATTCTTCTACAAATCCTGAAAAAAACTTACAATTTTGAAGCTTAGTCTCCAGACTTTGATAAATGCTATTAACTACCTGCCTCCAGAAATCAAAACCAATCTGGCACCTGCATTTAGCAAATGCATATTTACTTGTTTTCTATGTTTATTATCCTATTATTTTATTATCCATGGCAAAAGACAAAACTTTCTGACGTGTTAATCAGCAAACACAAACCAAGATGACCACCCCAGCATATTGCACAGTATTAACATAAATATGTGCACAGTACAGCCTCTCTTGTCATGTTTTGTCATGTTGTCCAGAGTGCTCAGCTAAAGAAGCTTTTTTAACTGGATTGCCTACTTAGGCTTGTGAATTATGTGTTCAAGGCTTTTTTAAATTTATTTGTTATTGTTAAAGAGGTCTGGGGGGTCATGCAAAGTTTGAACATACTCTTTCTTAAATTATGCTTGCAACTTTTATACTGGCCTTATATCTGTGCATTTTAAGAAGTTTTACAAAATCCCATTGTAACAAAATATAGTTTAACAAATTGCAAAACACAATATAAATAGGAATTTAATGGAATACTAGTAAGCAAGAATCCAGGACATCAGGATTTCTAAGAAAGGACACACTGAGTAAGTTACATAAGAACATATAGGCATTTATTACTCAGTTTAATTCTGCTAGAGAATAAATATTGTTTAAAGGACAGGACCAAGTGCAGCACTTTTTTATCCAATCTTCAAAGATCCACAAAAGGTTTAAACTACTTTCTAATGGCAATTAATTCTGAGCAAATCAACAAATTAAAATATAATTGTCAAAGAACATTTTTAGACTCTTGGCTTATAAACTGGAGTCTAAGAATGATATACTTTTTTTCAATTTATTTTTAATTCTCGGAACACTGCTGTTAACCAGTCACTAATTCACTTTTCATGAAATAAAACAAAGGAATGTCTTTTAACCTTTAAGCCAACACTTGTTTGTAGTTTCAGACTAATAGATAACTAAATCAAAAGATGTTAGATTACATTATAAATTTCAATTCTTTTGAACAGTAGACCTAGATGTTTAGTAGCTTGCACAAGACAAGAAAAAGGGCAATAACAGTGCTAAATGCTATCCAGTGTTTTTGGTTTAAAAAGGAAAACAATCAAAATGATAAGTGAGAGCTTATCTGTTAAATGTGATTTTCATATGGATGGGAACCTGCGCTATATCAGGACCAGGGCAGATTGACTGGTGATACAGTAACACAGGTATTTTCATAAAAAATTTATATTGTTATCTCATCTTGATAAGATGCTTTGGGCACATGTAACATGTTACACCAACTTCAAAACCAAGTGTCAATAAGTTTTCTGTTACTTAACGTGTGGTCACTTAATAATTGCACACAACAATAGCAAGTAAAACAGTCACAGGCCTACCCAACTACCAGACTCGGCACCGAATGATCCAGAATTCACCGGTAGATCAGACCACACTACCCGTTTTCAAGGTGTGTGTCAGATCGCATTACACAGTATCATACCCTGAACAAATTTTGAGTGGTGATGCAATGCTTTTCAACCCCACTGAGAATCGTCACTATCACATCGCATACTAGGCAAGAGCGGTGTCGCGTCTGATACTGTGTAATGCGATCTGACACACACCTTGAAAACGGGTAGTATGGTCTGATCTACCGGTGAATTCTGGATGATTCGGTGCCGAGTCTGGTAGTTGGGTAGGCCTGAGTCACAGCGGGGAGGCAGACCAAGGTATCTCTAGGTATCTCAACAATAAGTAGAACCAAAGCAACTGGAAGCAGTATATACTGACCGAATAAATTTCTAAAATTATGAACAGATGCTTCTGGTCAATGTCATACAAGGTTTTTCCCAGAGAGCCGTCCAGTCATCATTTTGTCCGCCATTAGCCTCAAAAGACAGCCTTTATTTCCTAAGATGATACGGCAGCTTATAAAATTTTGGGGTTGGTTGGTTGGGCTTGCTTAAGTTGGACTGTAAATCAATGATCAAATTACACATTCACATTTTGGTACCCCAAATCCTGAGAAAAACCACAATGTCATATAATGTTTTGGTTTTCTTTAAAACTGTCGTAAATTGAAAATTGACAAGGTATCCTAACAGCAACACTTGCTGAATGGTTTAGTATCCTATGCAGAACACAGGTCTTTCTACTGCTGAATAATAAACATAATAAAAATTAATGTGATGATATTTTGGCATGACACTGAATGGCTGCTACTGTTATGCCAATCCGACTGCACATAAATGTACATACATCACTGCTGGAATCATGAAAGCACAAGTAGGAAACAATGGAGTAACCAAAACGTACCCTGGATTATGAACCTGTTTCAGCACATGGAAGCAAGCAACGGTTACACCTACAAGCAACAGGTTAAACTGGGTTGGAAAAGTCAACTTCAACTCAACAATTCAAAACTTTGTACTGATATTTATAAAAAGTTATCATTTTTAATTTGTCTGCATTCTAGGTCATTGCAAACATATCTGCATTTCCGCATTACGCTGTAAGTAAATAAGGCACAGTGCTCGGATATCTCCGGAATGCGGGGTAGTCGATTTTGTAAACACAGTGGCCAAAACGCCATTCTATTCTTACTTGCTGGAATGTTGTGTCGCTCACATGGTCATTTTTACACCGTTTTTATCCCCTCACATATCGAGCAGTTAAACGTAGCGACCTGAGTGGTAAACTATAGGTATTTTATGTTTGTGGGTCCTTCTTTATGCAATATACATACCTGGTTAATGTATATCTTGCCGATTATCTCGGAGACGTCTACTGGTGACTCAAATACCTTCCGCCATTTTCCCGTATGACGTCACTAGCAGGTGTCTACTGACACTACACATTCTAGATTGAATGAATGAATCACATCTGTAGCAATGGCTTGTACTGCTGTCGTTGTTTAGTCATCATTGTCAACACAAAAACTACGTCTCATTAAAAAAAAGCCTTTTCATCTTTTTGATATATACATATTTACATACCGCCTATGTCAATTAAACCCATTTTTTTTAAGTTTGAGTCTTAGTAGCGAATGTGACGCAATCAATTTTGATGTCAACAAACAATTTTGAATTAACTGGTAAGTACATGTACTGTAAACAAAGAGCCTTCATTATTCTCGAATCGATGTTTCATCATTTTAAAAACTGAACTAAACCACATTCTTATTTATGCTTGATATATATAACCCCTTACGGTAGAGCCATGTTTTTCTTAGTCTAAATTAAGTAATATTTAAATATTACAAAAGCGTGTGTTGAAAAGATCTGGAGCATTTTTAGGCTTGCCTGTACATGATTGACAAAAATTGATGACGTGTAATCTAAAAATAGCTACTGTTTTAAGACGCAAATGCAACGTTTGAAAGTCATTTCATAACCTGACGCCAATAAGGTAAGCCTGAGAAATACCACTTACAGCCAGATTACTTGTAGGCCTATATAATAAGTTATTGAATCTAATTTGATAAACTTTAATAGATACAAACTTCATATTGATAATTTGAACCACACTTGATGAATAGATATTGTTTTAGTATCTATGCGTTATTTATTGTTATTGAGCAAGATATGGTGTTCTTGAAAGTTATAATTTGTAACCTTTACATAACATAATATTATAGGCCAACTTTCATAACGTTAGTTAAGTTGAATATATAAAAAAATTATAGTGAAATCTTTTGTTAGTCTGAAAATCAAACATATCAACTATATATGCTTTTGTCAAGTTTTAACCTAAGAGATGCCAATAGCCTAGGCCTACAATGGATGTTTGGAAATTATGAAGTGGACAGCGATACTTCTAAGATCAAATGATCATTCCAGCAGTCGAAGAGTTTAGGTTGTCTATTAAAAATATCACAACTAACAGCCTAACAGGCATTGAAAACAACAAAAAATACGCATATTTAAAGTTGGGAGTTAGTACCGCCTGCAATTTCGTAAAATGCACGTCTGAAACAGCAATATCCGTAATACACTGATAAGACGAAAATAGACAGAAAAATAAGATGAAAAAAATATCGAAAGAAAAGAAGTTTGAATACGTTCAATAAGTTTTAGATCATGGTATTGTGGAAAAAAATTGATAAACTGATGTGTAACAATATTTTTGTTGCTTGGGTACATAGTCACTGACTATTAGGGGGATTCCCTGACAAACAGGACATGTCATGACAGTCCACAGGATAAATACCACTTGATTGTTACACATTAACTTGATTCACAACAGAAGTGATGGACGGAATTTTGTTTCACCCTTAGAATCGGCTGGGGCATGTATAGGTTTGAATAAGAACTAACACATCTGATAACTTTCACACATTTATAGGTCATTTTGACGGAAGTTTGACCTCTCCACGTTACACATGTACAGAAGTTTAGAACCCCTTAAGCATAATCCTCATCACGACTAGTCACACCGTCACCTGACAGTCACGAGCATCATTTCAGATAGAAATTCAGGTTTCAAAAGAAATTAGAGAAACTGGTTGTCTAATTTTGAATGATTTGAAATCACTATAAACCCGTATCAGTCGTGATAGGTGAAGTTGCTGCGTCATCGGGGATTCCCCAGCTTATGATGAAGTCAGCACATTTGGCGAATAAAAGGCATGCTATTAGAGGCCTGCTAACACACTCTTGCGTTGGCGCTGAATATGACGAATTTAAGTCGTTTGTGTGCAGAAATATTTCGATAATATTTGTACGTACTTTTTAGATAACTATTTGATATACAGTTAACTGGCGATTGTTAAATATTAGTATCATCTTTCTTTATTTTAGCTCAATCCAAATTTTCACAATGCTGGAAGGATTTGAATATTTGGTTGACGACAACAGAACCCGGGAAATCCCGCTACATGTTGCATTCAAGGAAAAGGGAGAGACCGTTGACAACCAAAGTGACCATGGTAATTTACCAGACTTTGAGATGTATACTCTCTCTCCAGACGAGTTCACGCCTGCTGTAAAAGCCGAATTAAGAAGTACAATAAAGACCAAGTTAATGGTAAAAGGTCAAGAAATACCAACCGTGGAATATCGACAACCGTTGTTGGAACAGGTATGAAACTTTATGATCTCAATATCAAACCCATCGCTGTCTCCATATTTTTATGCGTATGGTTAATCCAGATAACTTTATTTCTATTCAAGTTAACACCAGAAGAAGAAGAGAAAAGAAAACGAAGAAGAGAAAACAATAGACAAGCAGCACAGAGGTGTCGACAGAAAAAGAAGGATTTGCTTGATACGTTACAGAAGGTATTTAAATATTCGAGTCATTTAAACAAAAGCTTTTTCACTCCCCCTTCCCCTCAAAAATACCAGAAATAGTGTATCAATTTTCTTTTTACTTTTCCAAATTTAAGACCCCCCCCCCCCCCCCAGCTGTTACATGGAACGGTTCAATTCTTGGAAAGGAAGTGACATTTATCAAAATTATTTGGAACGGATTTTGCCACGTTCTGCCTCTGTAAGGTAACGGATTGGGTATAAAATCCGATTCTATCGTGGTGGAGGATCATCATAATTCGGAGATATAAATTATTACTAAATAAATAAAGGCGCGTCTGTTTGTTTTGATTCCGATTACAACGGGTCGTGAAACCAAGTCTTGGGGGTTTTCCAACAGCAAAACTTTTTCATAGAAACTAGGAGATTACTGCACTCTTTTCAGACGAATAATTGATTAGGGCAAAGGCGGTAGTATTGAAAGCGCTGATAGCAACCCAAGTTTTCAAAAATGACATTTTATGTTTTCTTTTATATATTTATAGAAAACGCAAAACTTAGAGTGTCAGAACACGGACCTACGAAGACAGATTCGAAGTTTGGAAAAAGAAAAAGAGGCTGCCGAAAAACTCCTTTCAGAGCACTTGAACGTCTGCAAGTATCACGTGACGCACGAGGCATGACAATATGTTTCACCAGTGTCTAGCAAAGTTGATACAATGGATTTGGATACGGATTTGAACAGCAAATAGTCACAAGTTTGGCCGCACGCATCACGCGATCAGCCTTCAGAAGACCACCACGCACTTGACCATACTTCAATTATGTCATATCCGGTCATCCCGATTAAGATCGATGTGTGGACTGCTGTTAAGGGTTTTTAAGAAACCTCATTCTTTCATAAGGCTTTCTGTGAATAAAGCCAAACGAAAACGAAAGATGGAGATGGAGAACATGTGAATATCAAGACGACCGTCACATTTACGACAATCGTTTAGATTTATCAGAATCTGTGATAATGCATTCTAAACCTTCAGACCATCATACAAATTAAAGATTGCTCAAAAGAAACTTGTTAAAAGTTTCGATTCAACATATATTTTCAGACTTAAAACTTGAAGTGTCATACCTTTTTCTATTTATTGTGATCATGATGTTTCTCTGTATATTTTTATGAGACAGAATTAAACACATTATAATGGACACAAGATAAAGGTAACTCTATGAAATTTTGTATATTTTGGATTAAGAACTTTTTTTTTTACTGTAGCGATAGAAAAATGCATAGGAATTAGCGGGTAATATTAGATGTTTCAATATGTAATTATCATCAATATTGAATATTTTAAGAACTATTTTACAAAACATTATCGTTTACCATTTTCAAGTTCCTTTTAAGTGTATTAGAAATGATTTTACATTTCAGCTTTTGCGATTTTTCCGAACTCTCATTACCATATAACTGCAAATATAATATATTAACAACGTACAATATCATCTTTCTGGTTGCGATTTTAGTTAATAAAAAGTTATTTAAATCATTATTATTATTTAACATTTTAAATATAGTATATGTATATCATTTGAGTATTATTATGAGTTTTTAAATTACATACAGTTTATACTGTGTCCATTTTGATATTACCTATCAATAAATGCGTCCTGCTGTATCGATTTTATGCATTGTTTTTGTATTACATTTGTGAAAAAAAAGCACAGCTTGTTCATTTTACAAACAACGAAACCATTCCGTGAATCAAAAATAAAATATCCAAATGAAGAACCATCAACTCCAACTCCAATGACCTGATAAAATATCTTACATACTAGCTTTAGACCCCATTGCCACAGATTTTAGATCGATCTATCCCTGTGGGGAGTCTCACTAGATTACTGTCAGCTTAGCCGGCTTAAATGTCTGTCCCGCCTACTAAAAGCTGCAAGGGGGTAATTAACTACCGTGTGCGCTCGGCTGACAGCAATTTAGCGTGAACCCCCAGGGAGTTAGGTCGATCTAGATGGATCGATCTAAATCTATGGGAATGCACTCTTAGACTTCACCGGTACGTATAATGTGAGCATTAGATAAGCTTAAATACGGACATCCTTAAAAAGGCTTTGCTTAATATTTGTCGGATAGAATGATTCATAAAATGTTTTGTTATCAAGATTTTTTAAATTAGCAGTTACGTGTGTAGGAGATGTTGATATGTTTGTTCAAATTTGTTTTCAAGTAAGGGGGCAAAGATATTTCCATATTTTATTGTACAAAGAGTGGATCCACTTACACGCCAACGCGTATCCCCCAGCGCGTACTATTTTCCTTTTAAGAAGGAAATTCTTCAAATAGGCTGTTAAGAAGAAAAGATATTAGACTTTTTGTAATTTAGGTTTTTAAATTGTCTTTCCTTTTCAAAGATCCTTCCTTTCACATTTTACACCGCTTTCAGCTGATTCATCTTTGCCAAAAATATCAGTTTTGTGTTTTCATGTAATGTGTTAATCGTATCACAGCTAACGCAGTCATGGAATATGTATTGCTTTATCATCAAAGAAAAGCAATGACTCTAAAATATGTCGAGTCATACCATCTAAAAAAAACAATGACTGAATGGATGAAGACAGAGAGAAAGCTTCCAAACTTTCTTTTCAATCCTGGCTACGTTTATTTTTATATTTGATCGTTTAATTTCGGACTTGTGGTCATGGGATCCGGTTAGTAGAAATGTACAGTTTGGAAGAAACAAGAGGTAGCCATAAGAAAAAACTGAAATGTGCATGAACAGGGGCGGATCCAGAGATATTTTCTGACAGTCTTCCAAATTATCTTTGTTGATCCATCCTCAATCTTTGACCGTCCTCCGACAGAAAAAAAAATAGACACCCGTCAATGTAAACTTGAAAATCTGACCGTCTTCCTGAAGACCCAGAAGACGGCCTCAATCCGCCCCTGCATGAAGACCTATCTTCAGTAAAAAAAAAAAAAACTAGCAATTGACATAATTAAATTCAAAATAAAGATGAAATAAACACGTAAAGAAAAAAGAGAATATAGGTATACAGCAAAAAGGGATGCTGTACGCTTGAACGGTTTTCTATCATTGTAATGCTTGTTCCGAGTTGTAAAAGGGCTGGTATTTTTTTTAAACCAGTCTATTCTCAGTCGCTTATTATTTCGTTTGGTGGTTTGACGTAATGTTATCAAAATATGCTCTCTCACGCAGTTACAATGGTTCTTTTTATAACGCCTACCCCATGACTGAAATACAATTGTGTTCGTGAGTTGACTAACAAAGAAAGTTATTGATCCAGGAATGGTGGTAGGATTTCCACTCAGTATAGGTAAATGTGTCATGCCGCACAGGCGACTGTATAACCTTTTTACTTCCTTGTTGCCTTGCAGTATATACGTAGAAGACATTATTCGTATAATGCATGGTGACGATCTTTTAAAGAACAACTAATCATCTCAGGTAAGCTATGTATACTGAATTTAGAACTGTATAAACACTACGTTAAAACTTACTGAATATGAACAATAATTTTCATAATCGAAACCTGCGAGGAGACAGCGCTAGTGTACCGACGTGCTAAAAGTGCATGTCATCATCCTCTACGCCTGTCAAAAACTCCAGTTTAATGCAAAAGAGGAATAATTAATTATAATTCTATTAAAATCGCAAAGAAGTGACACCCTTTTGACAATCAAGTTATTTGACCTGCCTACAAACCATGAGAATATTGGAAAATTAGAAAAGTAGGTCATATGTACAAGCACAGCTGGTGAATCATAGGATGGACAATATTTCACAATACATTGTCAAAGTACAAATCGTACGCATTAAGGAGGTATAAGTTATTTCTTTTTGCAGTTTGTCGTCCAAAGTAGTCGTGTCTGGATGGTACCTCCTCGTCTCTTCATACATGTTGTACATGTACTATATGGTACACATATGGTACACAAATATTGAATAACTGTTGAACTTGATGTTTATGTCATCATTTTTATATAGTTAAGAAGAAATGTCCACAGTGATATTATTGATCTAGTAATTCCAGCAATAAGGGCGCTTGATCTTTGGATATTTATTTCCATAATTTTTTTTCGAAAAGTACAAGAATTATACACACTTTACATTCTAACTCATTATGGGTGTTGAAGAATCCAAAATCGCTGAATATATGAAAGCATTTCACTCAGCATGAGAAACATTACTAAACAGATCAACTTCGATGTGAACCATTTTAGTTTGAAAACTACGTTTTGCTACCTTTGTCTTTTGAAATGTGTGATTTCTTCTTCCTCTGCAGTGGTACTGCTTCCATGATGCTCAAAACAGTACCCGGAGTTTTGATAATTTTGTCAGTGGCAAATTTAGGTAAGTGTTCGCATTTGTACTCCAGCTTTCCTTTTCCTCCATATGAGATAAGCACAGGAAAAATGAACCTCCTTTCACGAAGTTTTATGCCGTATTTTGCATAAAACTCGCCCTCATGCTTTCATATGGCATGAAAACCATTGCTTCTTGAGCTGTCTTGAATTAAGAGATGTTTTCTTAGGCTCGAATAGAAAAGGTCATTTGCTGTCATACCTGAACGAAAAATTTCATGAAAGTGACGAGAAGATTTCCTTTTTTGTAAGTTCATTCTAGAAGATCTACTTGTGTGGAGAATACACTAAAATAAACATTCAATTCCCAACCTTTCCCCAAACAATTTTATCTTTAACCAGTTATTAATCTTATTTATTAATTTTCTATTGAAGCATACCTGGTTTCCTCCCTTGTGCGTTTGTCTGGTGGAAGTGCTAGTAATGAAGGTCGTGTAGAAGTGTTTCATGACACTGAGTGGGGTAGCGTGTGCGACGACGGGTTTGGAAACGACGAGGCAGCTGTCGTTTGCAGAGAATTGGGCTTCCCCGGATTCCGACGACATATTCAGAGCTCTTATAGGGTCTTTGGAAGAGGACTGTCAAAAATTTGGTTGGATGAAGTGCGATGCTTGGGGATTGAGGCTTCTATTGTAGATTGCATTCACGATGGTAAACAATATTTATTTATATGTGTTGATTTGAAAGAAGACCCACGCACGTTCATGTACCGTGGATACTTTCATATGAATGTTTAACTCCATCAAAAGAATAGAATATAAAAACCTTTAAAAATCTCTCCTTTGGTGCTGTAGGCTACACTGGAAGGTCATTTTGAAACCTAGTTTATCATATTTTAACACTGCAGGTTGGGGAATCCATAACTGTGATCCTGCAACAGAGGCAGTTGGAGTAGAGTGTGAACCGCTAAATGGCACTGTGCGACTCACGGGGGGTGCTAGTGACCACATGGGCTATGTTGAAGTGCAAAGAAACGACGCCTGGGGAAGGATTTGTGATACAGGATTCACGATAACCGAAGCAAGTAAGATTGCTGTACGAAATGACCATGTGAAAATTGAACCGAAAGAGAAAGATTACAAAGCCCTGCTGTGATCGAACGCGTGGTTTCATATGATAGAGCTTCATCACAATTTTTAAATCCATACCATACAGGCTAGAAAACTAAAATACACCGACAAATATAGATGAATAAAAATACGTAAATAATTTTTTTTCAGATATTGTGTGTCGCCAGTTTGGGTTCCCTAATGCTTCCAGTCTTCGTTCATTTGCCACACTTCCTAGCACGCCTCCGGTATTAGATCACGTCAAGTGTACTGGGAACGAAGCGAACATTCTGCGTTGTAGACACGATGGATGGGGTGTAGCTGCTTGTCAACCCAATCAGGTAAAACACCACCGCGCATCATCTAAAAGTGGTCTGCATAATCTATACATTTAAAAACTCGAACCAGGAAGTTATAGTTTTTGTAGACCATATAATTTTCGACATATGTATTCAGACACTACAACCAGGTAAACATTCGCCATTAAAAATCAGTAACTGGTAAAGCGATTTCACAGTGCTCCTATGCGATGTCTGTTTCAGACCGCCGGTATAGTGTGTATAGATCCCACTGGTCCGCCTGAAGGCACCCTGCGCCTGGTGAACGGTGCCAAGAGTAGAGAGGGACGGCTGGAAATCTACTACAATCATCACTGGGGCACGGTGAGTGTGGGGAATTGATTCCTCAGTAACCTCAAACTTACAAATAAAACAAGTCAACAAGAGAAGCAATATTTGATTTTATAAAAAAAAAAGTCTTCTGTGTGTATTTATGTATGTATGTATTTTAGATTTGTGACAAAGGCTGGGACGCTGTTGATGCCTTGGTGGCATGTAGACAGCTGGGATATTCTGGACTGGAGGCACACAATAGGAACTTTGGCGTTGGTGACGATCTAGTCTTGCTCAGTCAGGTGAATTAAAAAATAGTATAGACATCTGTTTTCTTGGGTAAAATATATTTATGAAATCATTCCGTACTTTTGTTTAAGAAAGGGTTGTTTTTTATAGATGATTATTTTAATAAGTAATGGAGTGTTTCATTTTTTCTTACAGTGACCTACAAAAGGATGTGAGGTTTTCAAATGTAATGGTATTTTATGTAGTTTGTGCTGGTTGTGTTCCATCAGTATACTTTAAAAATTTGGAATATAGAAAATGTTGGTGCTTTCCAACAATAAAAAATTGATTGTATTCTTACGTTCTGTCACTTTGTTTCTCATTTAATTTGAAATCATGCATCTTAAAAATTTGTATCTTTTTTAGATTCATTGTAATGGTAACGAGGACAATCTCTCGCGATGTCCAAGAACTTCAGACTGGGGTATTGTGCCAGCAGAATGCACTCACGACAGAGACGTAGGCATCGTTTGTGAAGGTAATTACATGGCATGACAAACATCTAATGGTACCTACACGCGATGGGCAATAGAAGTGTCACCCCTGAATCAGAGTAATCAAAGTAGGTAGATCTTGAGTAGTTATAATGCCTGGTCTACTTATAATGTGAATGAGTATAAAACCACTGTGCAATGGAATTGTGTTGTTGGTCTTTTTGTGAAATTTGATGTATAAAATGATACCAGGAGCATATCAAAAGTTAGAACTGAACGTTTTAAAAAACTTTTATTCCTTTCTCTTTATTAAACCATTAGTGGCCTGAGTTTTCCTTTGAAACTCATTTTGGCCTTTATTGTATTTAATATTCATTACTCCATCCTCTTTTACACTAACTTTCAGATGCCTGTGCAAAAATTTATTTTATTCATTTATTCTATTTTATCCTTTTTTATCTCATTAAGTTCTATTCGCATATCCTATATTATATATCAATATTTTAATTTGTAAATTTGTAAATTTTATTCTCACTCCATTTTATGTATAACTTCAACCTTTTGGTTGCCATGTCTTAATAAACGTACTTACTTACTAACAAAAAATCATTTCACAGTCATTTATCTCCCCCAAAGTATTGGCTCAGTAGGGGTGACACTTCTATTGTTCAGTGTGCGTAACTGTACACTGATATTTTAAACTTTGAAAGTGTCTTTAATTTATCATATTTTAATAAGAAAAATGATATTACTCAAAACCAAACCAAACAAAACCTGACGGCTCTCTACTCATTCCAGATAGGCCTATGCAAGTATGGGAAGAAAGAGACTTTTTATAAAAGTATATATGGTTTATTTTTTCATTAGAGATCAGTATTAAACATACAGATTTTATCTTGATAACATCTTTCTTGTGTCAATGTTATTGAATACGAAAATTGTAACTGGTAATTTTAATTTATCCTGTTGAAGCATCTGTCCCAGCACTAAGATTGAACAGCAGCTCTCCTGCCAACAACAGCGGCATTCTGCAGGTGAACTTGAACAAAACCTGGTGGTCAGTTTGTCTGCAAGCTCTAAATGGCGAGGCACGAAGTGTCATTTGCCATGAGCTAGGGTTTGATCGCTATGTGGGAGAGGGTCCCAGCACCAATGCACCGTCTGGTATTGATGATATGTACTCTACGTCGGCCAGCTGCACTGGTGAGAAAATGTCATTAATTTTTACTGCCTTAATTATTGATACGGCCAAATGTTTTTTCTAATAACTGAGTAATGAAATTGAGAGAAAGAGAAAAAATATATTTTCATCAATTTCATAATTATTTTATTCAAAACAATGAACAGATTGACTGTGTGAAAGCTGAATATGGTATCTTGTAGCACAGATAACTACTGAGCTGATCAAGTCAAAAGTATTTTAATAATATCGATTATTTCAAAATATGTTTCAAACAGCGTGTGTTTTCAATTTGAAAGTGCTCTTCATATCATGCCAAGCATAAAACCAAAAGATGACACTTTTCATTATCATATTTATCAATCTTTATTATTTAAGGAAATGAAAGGGCACTCGAGGAATGCAGAAACCACAGATGGTCAGTTGTGACAAAAGCAGCTCCTCCACCTCTTCATATTTCCCTGTGCTACTCCTCATCTCCAGTACAATTTGTATGTGGCATGACAGAACCTACCACAGCCAGTTCGGCAACCTCTACAACAACAATAACAACAACAACAACAACAACACACCATTCAACAATATTAACAAATACACCAGGCAAAACATCTACAGCAAGGAAAACTACAGTTAGGACAACATTAGTGAACACACCAGCAGATGTTGGATCAACTCCAAACACGTCTCCAACGACGAAACCTAGCACTATCCCTCCCTCTGGAAATACTGAGTCTACTCACTCTGAGGTAACGCTCTACCCAACAACAACAACAACAACAGACGACAATGGTATCTTAACTTCTGGTCCTACGGAGGTTCAACCATGGGACACAATGCCAAACAAGTCTTTACCAGACTGGGGTATTGCCATACTGGTGACAGCTCTAGTTTTGGCTCTTATTTTTGTTGTTGGGTTCCTTTTGAAGAGACGACCTGCAAGCTGTTTTGGTAAATTAAGGTACGTGTATTTGAGTTTAACTGGTGAGTCGTAAATTGAAGATTATAAATTATCACATTTAAATTGAACTAAGGCATTGTTTTATCAGAAAAATCTATTTTCCTAGCTGTAATACAATTCTTGGTGGAGTCTACATACAGGAAAGCGAAAAACTGTCAAAAATGAAAGTGATTCCGGCCGGTGTGTCGCAAAATTGTGAAAACAGAATAGGATCACAAGATATAAACTACAGAATGCTTTTGTGAGCTCAGAGACTAATTTATAATTGGGCAACAACTTTACCTGACGAGAGCTGATGACTTGATACAGATGACATACTTTGCTGCATATAGTCTGACATGTTTAATACATATACTACAGTTTTGAGGTAAAATTGAACATTGTTAAGTTTCTCAATCAACATTCCTCTTCAGGTCTCAAAGGTCTAATCCTGGAGAGCTGTATCAATTACACAACACTTCCACGGCACAGCTGGTATTGGACGAGCCTCCACCCTATACAACTGTATGTATAGAGGCAATATGCGTCAACTCATGGCATACACTTATTTTTTTAATTTTTTTTCATTGCAAATGGGATAAAATCAAACCTCTTTATCCTGTGAGGTTTAGCTTTGCGTGCTCGAATCTAAGTTTCGTATATGGCCAGTGTGTTACTGCCGTTGTAACAATATAATATAATATAATATAATATAATATAATATAATATAATATTAGAAAATAAGTTGTTCTAAGTGTTGTTTTATGGCACATCAGTGTAAGGCGGCTGCCGATTATCATCTAACCCCCCTCGTATCTCTACATTTGATTTATTAACATTTCAGATTTATCACAATGTGCCGAAGTGTGAAAAGCAAATTGAGTTCGCGCAATTAGATTGGATTAAACATTAAATGTAACACATATTGCTTTCCAGATTGATCCGTTTGTAAATGAAAGTAAGCCCAAAGCAATGCCACCAGTATCACACCAGCCGCCAGATGGCCTCTCCAATCCCCTGTACAAGATAGACTCGAGAGGTGTGGGTTTAACGACAGTTAAGAGATTTAGAATAAACAATAATTATTAAACTATATATATGTTTTGAAAAAATTACAGATAAAAGTGGTCTTTTAACAAAAGTATGATCGATCGTCTTATATAACAAAAGCATGGTTAGACAAATCGACCTACAATTTTTGTGAGACCTCAGGTGTTAATAATTATTTGATAAATATAATAAAATCATAAAAAAATTATACAATAGGAATTTTCAAAAGGCACTGTTAATTGTAAAATTGTTTCATTTCTAGATCCTGATGTACTGGAGTTCTTAGAAAAAATAGGGCTTGAGGAATACTATGGAATATTCACGAGAGAAAGAATAACAGCAAATGATTTGCCATCTCTTACAGAAGTGGATCTAAGAACAATAGGTATTTCAACCTCGGTTATTTTTAGACAAAAACTTGATTTGATTAACCCACTTTCTTGCATTCTCATGCAACAGAATCTATCTTTATTTATTTATTTATTATTTTTTAATGGCGTTGACTATTATTTAATATTTTATTATTTTAGGCATTCCTCTTGGTCCTGCAAAACGCATTGCCGAGAAAATCCAGGGAATGCATATCTATCAGCAGCCGGACGATGACCACAATAATAGCCATTACCAATCTATGATACCCAAAGGTTATAGAAACGAAGCTGGTCTGGAGTACCAGGGTCTAAACTTTAGCGAGTATGATGATATAGACCGCCAACAGGATGCCCCTCGCCCTCTACCAAGACCACCTCCTGGCGGACGACTAGACTCGGACCCAGAAAACTATGAAAAATTCGACGCAGACACTCGGAACTCTGCAAGTTATATTCAGTTCGTTTCTGTTGCTGAACAGGACAAAAACAAACCACTTTCTTATGCTGATGTAGTTTCCAGTGAAAAAGACTTATCCGTTGACCACCCAGCCGTAGCAAGTCTCGGATGTAGGGATAGCGGTTATATGACTCCAGTGACCAACACAAAATAACTCGTAATGTGTCTAGAGCAATACTTTGGACACAGATGCACAGTGTGTTGGTTGTTTTTTATGTATATTTCAACTAACGAAAATGTTACATCACCAGTAGGCAAGCTGTAGGGCTTGCACTGCAGCCTTTATTTGATTTGCTTTTTCTTTTATGATAAAGCGAAGCAAGAGCATTAATCAAAGAATGTAACATTTATTACAACTTTCGTCACCACTGCTTTGGAAACAATTTGTTGCACTTGGAATCTGTAGATACACGTTGTTTTAACAGTAGATTTCCGAGAAAAATACCTATCGACATTCTCACAAGATACATATGCCTTCAGATTCTATGTGTGCGTGCGTGAGGGTTAGGGGATAGTCGCGGATCTTGTGTGTGCTCTATCAGGATCCATCAAAAGGTAGGAAATGGAATGTGTTGGCGCGTGAATCTGTTAACAGGGCCACAACTCAATATCTCACTGTTGGGATTGGACCTAAAGGTTCAAGAATGCTAAATTTAGGAATGGCAGCTAATTTGTGATTTCGTAATATGACACTATCGGTCACATAATTATTGAGTATACGATTGCTACAAATGTAAATTTAATTGATGAAAAACGAACCATTAAATCTATATTATGATAATAACGTGAGTTTTTCTGAGCCTGTTAACCTACGTATTAACCATTCATTGCAGTGCCAAGTTTTAACCCACCACAATTCTATATAAGGGGCCATTCCCACAGATATTTGGATCGATCTATCTCCCTGGGGAGTCTTACTAAATTGCTATCAAACTATTAGGCTTAAACGTATGTCACGCCTAGTAGAACTGTTAGGGGGTAATTATCTTTACCCCTAGCTGATTCGGTAGGCGTGACAGACATCTTAACCTCTTGAGCTGATAGCAATTTAGCGTGAACCCCCAGGGAGTAAGGTCGATCCAGATGGATCGATGTAAGTATGGGAACCTAGTCTTAGACGCTCTCCGGAGCAAACTTGTCTAGGGTAATGAGCGTGACGATCTTACAAACAACCAAAAAGAAAGATTCAAACTTTGTAAGTCAGTTCATATACGTGTAATACGAAATTAATTGTCATTGAACAAGGTCATATTCGTTTATTCGCTATTCGTCTTCGCATTGGTCATTATCACATTTCTGCAGACCGAAAAACAACGGTGAAAATTGCTTAGTTTTGGCTTTGATCATTATCACATTTCAATCCGGTCTCCAAAACAGTAGTGGAAACTACCGGAGTTTCTGTTTGGTGATTAACACATTTCTACAAATTGAAAAACGAGACTGAAAATAACTATCTTTATCTTTGGTAATTATCATATTTCTCATAAAAAGGCGTTGTTCAAAGTCTAGATTATACGATATCATTGCATTTATGGACCCACAGAACACACAACAAGGCACCAACCAGTTTCGTCATTGTATATTGCGATTTCAAACATTTCATAATTTGAAAGATGAATGATTACATGCCCTCCACTAATTCATCGAGAGGAATACCCTCATAGATTTCATTGGTTTTGTTATATTCGTTTGATGTCGGGAAATAATCAGAAACAAAACTGTTCGCTTTCCTGCCGCGTAAGGCCCCTATTTCACACAGACCACGAATCCCACGAATCGCCAGGAATTGACAATTTCAGGATTCGTGAGGATTCGTGAGATTTTGCCAATTTTCTGGTCTAATTCGACACGCTCTACGATTCAGTTACGATACAGGTGCGATAGTGTTACGAATATTCGTGGGATTCGGCTGGAATCGCACGAATATTGTCCAGAAATTCACTACGATTTTTTGGAATCGGGAGTTCGTGGCCAAAACTTTGAACAGCTCAACATTTTTGCCACGAATTCCCGATTGATCAAGAATTGCAAGAACTGCATATACGAATCTGTTAAGAACTTCACGAACTGATTACGATTCAACCACGAATCCTGAAATTTGTCAATTCATGGCCATTCGTGGGATTCATGGTCTGTGTGAAATAGGGGCATAAAGGGTAAAAAGGAAAGTTAAATTTAAGATCAAAATAATTAAAGAAGGTGCATTTTAAAGTTCTTTTCTGCTGTCTTAGAGTTACATTTCAGTTTGTTTTATTGGTATGTAGTGTGCTAGAAACAGGTACTATAGCTATATAAATCCGTCAGTGTATGTGCACCAAATGTTTGTTGGCTTTCCAAGACTGTTTTTGTTAATTGCTAATTAATTGGAGACCATAATGTTAGCAACATTTTGATGATATGCAAATAAATGGTGTATTTCACCAAGGATCCCCTCAATGGATCGCTACCTTTTTCACTGTACTCTAAGACCCATTATGAAGTGTCTGGGGAAACGGTCATAATCTGGTCACCAAATTCGATTTTCAACACTAAATGCGTTATCGTAAATGTAAAGGCCTAATGTTCTATTAGTGTATAGTGAGAAATTGGAATGTTATGCCAGTTTCACGTCATGGTAATGCACATTAGATTAGGTCCAACCAGGTTCTCCTCACTTGACCTGACTGTGTTAGGGCTGGAGCAGCAGGGCACAAGTCGATTGCAATAAGCCTGAAAAGAACTAGATAATGTGTTCCATTTACTGCAAGAGAACACATTAAAATAGAGTTGAAAATATAACTGACTTAACAAAACCCCACTAAAGTCCTCTTACTAAAGTCTTATCAGGATGAATTTTAAAGCATTTTATTACACTCATAATTCAAAACTACATAATGCAGTTTTTTTTTTTTAACATCTTTATTCTCAAGAGGGTTAAATATTGATACAGTATAAATAAAGGTGGCAATTCGCCTAGGCATTATATGCTCACCTTTGGAATTTAATAATAATAAAAATAATAATAATAATAATAATAATAATAATAATAATATTCAAAGAAAGGCAGTGACGAGAACATGAGTGGCATTAGAGGGGAGTGAGGGACAGGGCATGGGGGGGGGGTAATTATGGGGGGAGGGGCAATAGGCCATCAGGAGTGAGTGGTAGGCGCCAGAACAGAAATCGAAGAAGATTCAGACATTTTTAAACATAATGCAGTTAATGCGTAATATGTTTGTTTTAACAAATTTTAAAATGAAATGCTCTGCCATCATAGATTAACGTATCTTTTAATCCAATATTTAAAATTGGGCACATAATGGAACAAAATAAAGAAGCATTTTTGAGAAAATAGCCTTAACTTTGAGATCTGAGTGATATTTACGTGGTAATGGAAAAGGCAGTTTTACAGTTATTTGCTGAAAATGAGTCACCGTTCAAATCTCGTTAAAAGCTGTTTTGGGAATTCCTGTCGCAGGAGCAGAACACGAGCACTTACATCTTCCCAGGGTCGTATCTTTTAATTTGTGATGGGCAGATAACAGTTAAATCAGTTTTTATTTTCTCAACGACGCGTGCCGTGATTAGGATCTCGCAAACCATTTTATCTGTTGGATTGAAAGCTGGTTTGTCTATTTGTGGGGTGGTTGCAACAATATAAAACAGTATATACATTAAACAAAGCTTCTGGAATAAGCCCAAACGCCAAAGAATCGAGGGCAATGTCCCACAAAACCTCGGACCTGTACACGTCGCTTTTTTTTAGAACTCCATTTCAAAAATGAATAATCGATACCACCCTCTTGCAATAAAAATCTAATTTTTGCGATTCCCTAGGAGTTAATACACAATGTACTCTCCACGTTCAAATATTTCCTGCTGTTGACTAGGAACTGATGTAAAACAAATTGGAGAGTTTTCCTCCTTTAAAGGATTATTAAGCAAGAAGAAACAATGGATCATTTTGTTCAGGAATTACACCATGTCTTGTCCCTTGAGTCATCAGTTGGTGCACTGCAACAGTGCCGTTATGATGTAGGCCTATGTGTGTGTTCGGTGTGTGTATGTATGTAATGTGTGTGTACCGTCTACCAGGGCTACAGTTATTATTAAGTAGACATTTTTGATATTCAGTTTAGAGAATACTCGTGAAATTAACATATCTGTGAATATCTAGTGTACATGTCACTTAAAAAACTGTGGATTAAAAGCAGCCTATAATATTAGGCAGCACAAACCAGTTTCTAAGCTGTCGCTGTTCACTGTGTTTTGTGGAATTCTTTTAAATTCATAATATATTTTAATTGTTGCAATATATTTGGTATCATTATGTAGAGCCCATAGGTCCAAAAGTAATGTTATGTGACGTAACATAAATGATCCGTTTTCAGCTCTTAATTAGGTTTCGCATATGGATGATACTGAGAGAAAACCGTGAATTTAAGCATGAAGAACCCCCCCTTTAGGGAAAGTCAAACCTCAGTATAAGCCTATTGTCTTTCTGTTTGACAGCTGATATTCACTGTATATATTCTCGACTTTTCCTTCTTTTTTTCAACTTCCATGTCATTGTGACACTGAAAAAAGATAACTATGTAAAATCACTGGTATACTACATGCAAATTCTATAAACGGAAGTAAAATCTCCAAGTTTTATTCAATGATATATCATATTTAAGACAAACACAAATGTCATTTCGCCTCGACATTAAAAAGGCAAAAGAAAATCCCAATATATACAAACACATTCATGGATATGAAGATATTTTCTTCGTTCACCGTTTACATTAACAAACCTACCGGTAGAATCTAATCTTAAATGCTTTAGAAGTTATATTAGTTTGAGCTTTGGTTCATATTTCTTTGTTATTTCATTAAACGGTCTTTGGTGATTCACGGCAAATTCATTCAGCATGTGTATGACCTTGTGATTCCATAATGAAATACCACAGCATATCAGCAGTCGAAAATATCAAAAGAAAATAAAGCAATGGTACAGGTATGTTTGCTACATTTAGCTGATCTCAATACCCTGAGGCCCCGGACAATGAAGAAAAATATTTGTAAACATTATTCATTAGTTCATCATGGTTGTTTATTCGACACCCAATTTTGATAGGATGTTATTGGAAGTGATAGTGATTGGCCGTGTCAACCGTCGACATATAGGTGTTAAAGGCAGTCATATCTTAATGGCTTTTCAGAAGTATATTAAAGGAAGGGGTTTTCATGTATAACTGGCCTCACCACAGAATGCACGACGCTGTAATGGACATCTGTTAAACGGGGAATTGCATGTCAGTATATTCAGATCGGCTAAACATGATCTCCTTTCTTCCGTTTCCAATAAGTTAAAAGCGTAAGCACTCTGATAACCTCTTCTTGTCAGTGTTTTTTGTATTTATCTAAGAGGACAAACAAGAAAATGAAATTGATTGAAGACTGTTGTTTTTAAAAGATGATAGATGACTTTTCAATTAATGTATAGTGTTTGGAAATAAGTCCCGCAGCATTTGTAACAAAAGGGGGGGGGGGGGTATGTTTCGTGCAGAGTTTTGTTCGTGTAATATCTCTGTAATATAAGCTAAGCCCGGGACATAGCGAAGACTCATGAAACTACAAAAAGTAACTTGAGCGGGGGAACATTTTAATGGATTTTAGACTTTCATATATACTCCCCCTAGCAAACAGTGTCACCCCTAATGCAATGCATAAAATGATACAGACAATCAGGTCAAAACCAATCTTTTTAATCAACTTCTAATTTTTACTGATTGTACAACCAACGAATACCCTAACAAGAGTAAAAATCAAAGCCTCATTTTAGTATTTTTTCAGAATCCTCTGAATTAGAGAACGCACCTGACGTGTTTGTGCGTGGAGTCAAAAAGTTCTTTAACATTTGTGGCCTCTTTGCAACCCCACAAATGAAAATATGTTCACTTTTTGTTTTGATATTTATTTTTTCATGCTTTAATATTACGTAATTTCAATTAGTTTAACATCATGTAATACCATACTGTATAATAACTAACACTATTTTTTACTAGAGGGACCGCTATCGGCCAAATTTCGAACACCACATTTGTGTTTGTCCTTTACTTATCCTTTTGTTTGAGTTAATGAGGAGACAAAGTTCTGTAATATTTGTGTGAGTGAGGGCGTTCCACATACGGTGCAAATGAGATCATTTCTGTTTGCAGGCTCATCTCTCAGTTATCAATTTCCCACACATTGTCATATTGGCGTTTGTGACGACGTCCTCTGACGGTAAACTCAGCAACATTTTTTGTCCTATTTTTGTTTTAAAAATGTTGCAGTCAAGTTCCTAAATGTCATGAAGTGTTTTCTACGAGGAAGCAATGAGCAGGGCGTGTTTATATCTTCTCTGGGTGTAATTGCCTTCAGTCGGCCTTACACAGACGATCTTGCCTGTTTGGTAAGGATGTTGTCTAACCCTCTGAATGGTTTTCATGGAACAACCCAACTCTGTGGATATTCGTCAGGTCAAAACTCCCTCCAAGACAACCGCTGGATAAAAAAAAATATCCCTCTCAGTTAAGAGCCGCATATTATAAATAATTGGTGTTGGGTATGTCAATGGTCACGCTTGGTAGGTCAATGTCCTAATACCCACATGTCCAATTTATTCGATGATCGGTAGCATAGTTTTTATGTAATAGTAAAATTGAATATATGGGTTCCCTTGTTGCAATGTACATAGGGGTGACCTCTTTTTGCTAGGGGAGCATACTATTATTAAATATATTATTAATTTTATCCAGCAGAGTTGCCAAGAGGATGCCCGATCAATAAAAGAA